TTTAAGGATGTTTTCCAACAAAGTGCTCGCATCGGATCGGATCGGAAAGGATATGACCGGATGTGGTGACAACCGATCGCATCTAATAGGATGTAAAGCTATAAATATGTAAATGATGATACACTATATTTACTTACTCTTATTTGTATTAAAAAAAATAAAATAAAAAGACAACCTTGATAAGTTCTTCATAGAACAAAAATAAAAGATTGGGGTGGTGTCTCTTCTCCCATGCTTCTTTTATACGAGTATGTGCAGTAAACGGCGTTCTCGGCACTAATGAAAAAAAAATCACAACAGAGAAAAAGAAAAAAAAATAGAAATAATAATAAGTTAGAAATTGGCGAGTAACTAGAATTTACTCAGATGTATCCTAATCTCAACGTCCAGGTGCCTTAATGTGTTTAATTTAGTTTACTTAATGGGTTATTAGATAATACTATCCTAAAAGACAAAATACTTATTGATTGAAGGTTTCTAATTGTTACTAAAATAATTTAGAGGGTATTTTTATGATAATTTCAACAAAACTTGGTTACCTTTTTCGTATCACAGCATAAGCAGTATAAGTAATAGTGGTATTTAAATAGGCTAATTAAATAAACTAACTAAATAAACTTTTCATTGTGATATTAATAGGATTAATGGGATAATATTTACTGTGTTAAATATGTATAATTTGTTTTTCCATAGGTAGGTAATATATGGTAAATAATCTAGGTAAGTATACAATCATTAGTAAAGTAAGTTTAATACTGGCAACCGAGAAATGAACGCGTTGCCATGCTAACAGAATATAACAAAAATAAGTAGTGAACTAAAAATTATTCACCCATTCAGAACACTGCCTTTTATTTATTGTAAAAATCAATTAAATAATACAATAAATCGCTTTAATGTTTTCATTTTTAGTAATATTAGCTTGGATTTTATAATTATTAATTGATTATACTTATATTGTGTTGCAATACTACTTCTTTATTTTATTTTTAAATGATTAAAAGTGTTAAGTAAAGAAAAATAGATTATAGACATAATAAGCAAATATAAAATATAATTACCTTTGTCATTTATAAATAAATGCCAAAATGATTTATATTCGCCATCATACCGCTTGTACAATTTGAAATAATGATAATAAGAGACGGCAACATCTCTTGGATCACGGGCGACGTATACGACCTTGGCTGTATCTAGAATTGATTGTGGCAGAAGAGAGAACGGCAAGTGAGTTTTTATGAATCGCGGCGAAGGAAAAGTCTCAAGTGTTTTCGCCGATATTGACATAAATTCTAAATTAGCATTCTTTTCCGTTATGTCGATGTTTATGCCTTCGTTCAATAATTTCCACATTATTGTATCATTAAAAATTATTGAACTCCTGTAAGGATAAAAAAAAATGAGTACATAACACTTAACTTATAGGGGGGAAAAGGGATTGTTAGTAATGGAGACTAAGAATCCCATTGCTAGCAATATATCCAACCAGGTCGACCTCCTCGCGGTTCCCCCTGAAAACTATCATGATTAATTCCTGATGAATTCATCATGATGGGCTAATTGGCCTGTTTTCATCCTCATCGATCACCTTTCACTGGTGCCCCGCCAGCGTATCCCATTAGCGCAGGCGGGGTTACCATACCATTTTCATACAATAAAAAAAACACTTAAGTTATCATAATTAATGAATTATTTATGTTGAGTAAAATCAAGGAAGTGGAATACTGCATAAAAAAAATAAAAGTAAAGTAGATAAGGATCGAACAAAATTTTTGCCAAAAAATTTGCCGTTTATATGTATTGTGATAAAAACACTCAACAAAATATAATTATTAAAATAATATTAACTAGTCACTTACTCGAGTAATGGAAACCTAAGAATGAGCGGAATTTTCATAGCAGTTTCATAGTCATGATCATTGCTCAATATCCAAACTAGTTCCTGTGTCCACGTCGTACCTAACAAATGTTTAAACTATAAATAATTATAAGAGAATCAGAGTGGTATAATATAATGTATTTTCATGTCTATAGACGTCGATTACCACTTTTCAACAGTTGGATTGCCCTAAAAAATGCCTATTTTTTTGCCATCCTTGACAGGCAAGTTGGCAGTTGGGCTTTGGTGATATTTTAAGGACACTGTTGCCTATTTTTCAATTATTAAATTCCCTCTGTCGTCTTTTGCGACACCCACAGGAAAGAAAGGGGTGGCCTATCTTGTGCGGAGACCACACAGCTGTTTTTATTGCGTATTTAAATATAATTTTCTTAAATACATTTCGCGAAAAAAAAAACTGTAAATGCAAACCTGATCTTGGGAAAGTCAACACGAAGGTGTCACTGGTTCTTATCTCCATGTTGTAAATCTTATTACTTTCTGTTCTATATTGTCTTTTTAATAGGTAGTTGTAAGGAGACACTCGAACATATTCCTTGCATTCGAACATATTTGCTGTTGTTATAATTATAATATTAAATATCAAACTAACACATTGTCCATCCTAACTCAACAGTTCAAAGCAGCTTTCAACTTTTTCTAACCTTTTTTTAAGAACGAATCCGATTTTTATATTTATTTATTTATAGGATCACCAACATAAAATACAGCGAAGCATTTCAATAATAACATGCTAGTGGATTACGACTAAGTACCTAACCGTTTTTACATTTAGAGACAACCACAGCATGCTTTGTATTTAAGACAAATTAAAATAAAATAAATTTAAATTATTAAATGTTATCAAATGAATAAAAATTTTCGTAATATACACATATGATTAAATTACTTCAATTAAATTTAAATTAAATTATAAATAAACAAAACATAATCGCGAGGAACATCAACTTTTTAATTTAGACATGAACACAGAGTGACTGTCAAAGTGAATATCAAGTTCAAGCTTGGTTATTACCATATGTATGCCAGTTATGTTCTGTATTATACTTAAAAACCTTCTTAAATTATCTATTAATGAAAACCGCATTAAGACACGTTGTGTAGTTCGAAAGACCTAAGCATACAGACAGCGAGAAGCGACTTTGTTTTATACTATGTAGTTGAATTTCAGGTGTATTTATCACAATGAGTTAATTGATCTGTAATTTCATACTCAACTATCCTCCCTCAATAATGCACCGCCAGCGTATACCGTTAGCGCAGGCGGGTTACCGTTCCATTATCATCCATTAAAAAAAAAACTCTTATTTTGAAAATGTATGGTGTAGCTGTAGACTTGTTCTTTCGATTCGTGTAAATATTATTTTTTTGAAAGCGTAATAGTAATAATAATATGCATTTTATTTTAACCATATCGAAATACATTGACCAGGTATAAAAAAAGGAGTATTTAAATTTAGTCCTACTAGCCATAACCAGTTCTAAATTACACTGTGGTTTATCTGAAGTGGAACCCATTAGTGTAGTGAATTTAATAGATACGTTGCGAAATTCTAACTTATTATTCATTACTGAATTAGGGTTTCAAGCTACAACTAGTGGAACAAAATTGCGGATCAGATTTTGATAAGGATTTGCGGTTCTTTTATTTTTTTTAAGCTTTTCCGAATGCGAATTTAACAAAAAATTAAAAAAAGTAGAACCAAAAAATTAAAAAAAAAATTACCACTGGCACGAGGTAGCGATTTCAATTGATGAAGGTGACCATAGAAAATATATAAAAACCATAAAGACGATGTTTAAAATTATTTAATTCAAACCTCAAGCTAGTTGTTTACCTGGAATATCCATACTTTCTTCTGGTACAACATCTTTTATTTCCCAAGGAAAGTTATCGTCCATCGTTAAACGAGTATTACAAGAAAACACCAACTGCTAGCAACGTATTGAATAAACAATATATAGAGTATAAAGCGTTAATTATATATAGACAGTATAGAGATGGGCGATATTGTCTAAATATCGATATCAAAGACCAAAATATTTTTAATCAAAACAGTATACTTATATGAAAAATAATTTACTTGTATGATTTTTATTATTGAATGAGATTAATATAATTGTTTAAACTATATATAATTAAAAGTACCATCTAGTCGAAAATCGATAAATAATTCGTCCATCGATATTTTATGATTACATTATGTTCTTATATATTTTCATATGTATTTAAAGAAAACATATTTTGTTTATTTCAGCGAGATAGACAGAAAGATCTAATTTATCTTTCTGTCTATCACTCTGAAATAAACTTTATATTAAACTTAATCGATAAATGTTTGATACTTTGGGTTATATTTATATAATTTTCGTAAAATTCTCTATTAAAAAAAATATATAAAGCCTATGTTACTGAATTTTAAAATCAGTTGAGTCGTTTTTTAGTTTACTCATTACAAACAATCAATGAATTGTTTCTTATATATATCTTGTTTTTATGACATTTGTACAGATTTTTCAGACTTATACTTGATATTAAATTGTAAAAGGAAATAGTAAATATTATTTATATCGTTACATCATGAAGTAACAACACAAATTATTGATTGTAAGTTGATACTAAATCGATTAATAATTTATGGTGCTTTAATTTTTGGGTATACTTACGATGTATGCATCACTTGTTTAGATAAACGCTTAGCATTTTTTGCTTCACGGTAGAAACACGAATGGGACAGAGGTACCCAAGCAATCGACTTTTTTATGCAACTTAGAATGGCAAACAAGCTTGTTTAGATAAACGCTTAGTATTTTTTTTATGCAACTTAAAATGGCAAACAAGCTGACGCCCCACTTGATAGAAAGTGGTAATCGTCGCCTATAGACATGAGCAATACCATGGACGTAATAGAGTATACTGTTTCGCTCATGATACCCTCCAAGCGTTGCCAATGCCTGAGGACTCAGGTGTTATTTTTCTGTACCCTATAAATTAACTGCTACATCCCACCCATCAAACCAAATACAGCGATGAAATTACAACTTCGAGCCGGGTGTACATATAACAGTAATAAAAGTAGTACAATAAAACCTTTAATTTTTCAATTGTATATTATGTAACGCGATTTATATCCACTACAATAAGAATTATAACAAATATCGTAACACGCATCAGTTTTAATCATAAGTGTAATGTGCACTATTATGTTTGTTTTTACATTTCAATAACCTTTTGTGTACAATAAAGAATAAAGAATAAAGTGCAAGTAAAGTGATTGCCATACCAGGTACTATTTTTAAAGAAAACGAGATTGTACTTTAGGTTCTTGTTTTATTTTCTTTATATTTAAAATCAAATAAAATGTTAGCTAGGTCAGTGTTACTTCTACTACTTATGAAAAAGTTCTATCTAGATGTATTTTAGAAATGTGTGCTAGATGGTATTGTTTCCAATGGGCCCATTTTTTGAACATTTACAGCACTTAACGTTCTTTACCAATTGACGTTTAGATTAATGATTAGTCTTCCTTAAGTGCAAATAACCCTTCTGTTGACGGTACTAGAAAATGCAAAAATACCTATTTAAACATATTATATATTTAGCAGAATATCCCATACTTGCTCTAAAACACCTTTGAATTTTTCACTGTTAAATTGTATGTAGTATACTATCTATATACATAAGCTACTCTGCACTTATTATTTTTATAATTACTTGTACAATATATTTTTTTTTTTATTAACTTGAGTAAAGGTTTTTGTCTCATGAATAGTAAATCATTAGTTAATTTCAGGAAAGTGTATGCCAGTGCCCCCCAAGTTGTCCTTCATCCAGCGCTCAGCTTGCTGCGTCATCTCCTCATCGAAGTGCTCGCGCCATCCGCCCGCTTTGCCTGTCAATTGACAGTAGTCATATAAGCATAAAGAAATTTTATAACACACTTTATATAAATATTATGAAATCTAAATCATTACCATTCTGTTGAGAAAACGCTCTACGTGGGATACTGAACCTTTTTTCCAAAAAAATACGGTCGATAATAACTTAAAATTTATGAACGTAGTAACACGAGGAGCATCCACCTGTTCAATTAGAACGACTGAATCAATAGGTTTTTTTGGAAAACATGTTACACTAGTAGAGGCATGGTAATAATTTGGATTTCAATACGTATGTTTCTACCATGATAAATTACCTTTCCTAATGAAGTGGTCATTTTTATTTATATAACCGATATCTTTCAGCATTTCTAAGTTGACGGACTTATTCTTTCTGAAGTTATCGATGTGTAAGTGGTCACAGAGTCGCGTCACTTGATCATCCGTCAACGGCTTGTTGAGAAACTTTGCTACTCGGCGTACTGCTGCTGGCAAATCCTGACAAAAGCAAATTATAATTCAAAAGCAATTTATTTTCAAGAAGAGTTGCCTTATTTAAACAGATTTTTTTATGTAATATGCAATGGCAAACTAACTGATAGGCTATCTGATGAACAATAGCAATATTATAGAATACTTTGTACTTCATATTGCAGTCAAGCAAGATTATAATACTTTAGACGGCAGATGTCTTGTCGTCATAAAAATATAGGCCTAGGACAGTAGGGGTTTTTTTTATAAAAGCTTACCATACGCTACTTAATACGTTTGATTTCAAGTTTTGAGACTGACGATACTTAGAAATATACCATTATCCTATTTTTACTTTTAATTTTTTACTTACACACCAAATTTTTGAAGAAAGTATTTCAGATTTGAAGTAGGCAAGTACTGGTATTGGATTTCGTGTTACCCCTACCCTTTTGATCATTGTACAATGACATATTAAACAATTTAGTGCGTAGGTATCTAAAATTTATTTATCATTTATTCATTTAACATAACGCCGTTAAAACGCAGTCTATGTTCTCCATTCCAAACATACTCCATACATATATATGTATGTATATCAAAATTTATAATGATAAGATTCAACAAATATTTATGGTATTCTACAAGAGAAAAAAATTAAAACTGTGCCAAAACCAGTTTTTTTTTTTTTTCGTTCAAAACTAAACAACTGAGCAAGCAGATTTAGATGAAATTTCTATAAGACCAATCTGTAAGAAAGTTGTTTCAAATAAAAAAAAGTAATTTTTCAAATTAGTTGATAACAGACAGAGTTTTGAAGTTCTTTTTGAAAGTTAGTTGACTCTACTTCTTATTGAAGTTAGTTGACAAAGTCAATTTCACATTTAAAGTACGAGTGTTAACAAATATGTTATTTTTAATTTATAACACTAACCTTACAGAGATCTTCGTAGAACAGAAATAGCATATTGGGATGATGCCTTTTCTCCCACGCTTCTTTGATGTGTCCTTCATACGGAGTCCAATCAACTGCCAAAAAAACAAAATTCTGTTAATTATAATGAATATCACTTGATCTTTAGCACAGTCCATCAAGTTGCAAACTAAACAGACCTTGTGCCAGTGTTTATATTATGGCCGTTGACGATGATTTAGTCGGGAATTGTTTTTTATAGATGATAATGGAGTCCCACCTGCGTTAACGCCATACGCTGGCGGAACACCAGTGATGGATGATAGGTAACAATGAAAAGGCAGGTCAATTAGCCCATTGTGAAGAATACACCTGAAATTCAGTACGATGGTTTTTAGGGGGGACTACGTGGAGGTCGACTTGACAGAGTATATTGCTAACTACTAGGACTAGTAATCCGCATTACTAATAATCCCTTACACCCTAGGTCGGGACTTTACAGACTGACAAAAGTTTGGTGTCGTCCAATTAGAACTAACAATCTGAGATCTGAGGTCTTCTAGTATATTTCGACTTATGACGAAGTATATTAAAAGAAATTTAAAAAAAATGAGAATGTGATATTGATGTCGATTTAAACAATACTTTTAAAAAAAGTAACTCTCCGAAATTTCTGAATAGATAAATTTAAATTTAGTAAGTCAATGTCGTAGAATTGAAGTCTGTTTTTTTATTTCTATAACGGTTGATTTCTTTTTTTATCTGCATACAGAATTTTTATCAGTTTTTAACAGATAAAAATTTTAAAACAATTGAATAATGTTTATTTTTACCTTCTGAATGTACGTTCTTTATTAACTTTATTTTCTATTTTTGGGTTTTCCCAACATCACTGCTTGCATTTTTGGCATCGATCATTAATCACCCCCTGATAGTTATTTTGGAAATATATTTCATGTACAGAATTGACCTCTCTACAGATTTATTATAAGTATAGAAGATAAATCTTATACACTTCATTTTTGGTAGCTGTGTAAAAATATTAAAATCCATAGTTTTGTAGTTTTTTTTTATTAAACATAGAACGGCAAACAAGCTAACGGCCCACCTAATGAAAAGTGGTAACCGTCGCCTATACACATGAACAAGTACCATGGACATAACAGAGTATACTGTTAATATACCTCAACGCAAGGTCACGACGTTCTCATGTCAAGTGTAAAACAGATAATTCCATAGACGCTCTTAGTATCAAATATACATATATGCTAAGCTGCATTATAAAGATAAATTTTGTATTGTATACTAATATCGAAGGAAATATTTTATTTATCTACGCATTTACATTTGATAAGACTAATACTAAAGATGTGTAGGTACTTTGTATTAGTTACTGTGGCAAACATGTTATCTATTCGTCTTACAAAATAAGAAAAACCCATCAATATGTTTATATCTATGGAAAAGTTTGTAAGTTCTGTAATAAACATTTACTATAATGAAGAAAAAGCGGCTGAAAATTTAATACTGAAGATTTATCCTAATGTGTGTGGGGGCCATTATGTTATGACCTAAGGTTATGACGTAAACAAATTTTAAGTATGTTTCAATTTGTATAATGATAGGTGAAGAATAAAATGTTAAAATTATGTTCCTTAGTATACTCGCAATTATTAAAATTTTGCACAAAGATGAAATTATATTTAATTTATTTATAATTTACTAAAACATCAGATATTTGTTTCAAATATCACAATTAATTTGATTTATGAAGACTTTTTTTTATAGTTGGAGGTGCATTTGTTCAGGCAATCCGTCCTCGTTATTTGATGCAGGTGACGAGATACCTGCTCTATTAAATATACAGAGTTGGAGGCAAAGGGATTGTTAGTAATGTAGTCTAATAGCCCCATTGCTAGCAATGTACTCTTTCAGATCGACCTCCACGCGGTTCTCCCTGGAAATCGTCTTGTCGAATTCATCATGGTGGGCCAACTGATCTGCATTCATTCTCACCTATCATCTTCCACTGATGCTTTGTCGTCGTATACCGATAACGCGAGCGGGGTTACCATTCTATTTTCACCCATTAAAAAAACACGTAGAGTTTATATATTTGGGGATAGAGTGCAAGCTAGGGGACATAAAGAAAGATCGACGACCTAAGACTGTTGCTGAATAACAGATGGTCGGCCCTCGATTGGGCAACCCCAATCATCTTTCGATCGCCCATCAACGGTCAACCGGTCATTGGCCGTTAAGTGCGCGGCACGGGCATCTATTGCGCAATATATAATGTGTTGAAGAAGCTGAAAAGTATATATAGGGTACAGCGGTTGCAGACTGCAATAAACGAAGAGAATAATCGACTACCGGGCATGCGGTCGCCCCAAGCGGTGATACGATCGCGCATTCGGGAGTCGACTCGTTGTCAACTGCTGTGCAGTGATGAATTTATATGCAAAAAATAGTCTGGATGAAATGTACATATTTGCCGCTGATAGAAGAGGTTTTTGTGATACTAATTTATTGATATTTTTAGTTTGAAATCTGATATTGATAATAAAATCAAATCTGGCCAATCAAGGTGCTGGCAGCAAATTTAAATATCTGTATCAAATTTAAAAATCTGGGCGGCTCAGTTCATGGTCCGCGGCCTGAGTTTAGCCTACCTTAGTTTAATCCAAATGTAGTTGTACTCTACCTCTATTAGTGATGAATAAATTCCAGAATGCTTTAAAGTCGCCTTTGAAACCATACATTTGCATCATCTTGCAATGGTGGTAATAGGAGACAGCGGCGTCTCTTGGATCTCTGGCCACGTACACCACTTTCGCGGTGTCCAGCAATGTGGGCGGCAGTAGGGAGAATGGCAGGTGAGACTTGATGAAGCGGGGCGAAGGTGCGTTGAATATTTTATCAATATTTGGTGTACGGTTCATAAAAGTGTCTTTGTGTACCCAATCTTTTATCCACTTTTTTGTATTTGGGCTATACAAAAACATCCTATACCTAAAAAAATAGTTTTATTTAATTAATAAAAACAGATTAGCAATGAATTTTACATACGCTGGTAATTAGCAAGAAGCAGTAAAACGAGAAATAAAACCTTTTGCATATGGGAGTAGCTTAAAAAACATGTACTTACTCGATGAACGGAAATCGTATAGCAAGAGGCGATTTCGCTGCCGTCTCGTAATCCAAATTATTTCCTATTAACCAAACAAGCTCCTGGGTCCACGTTGTTCCTGAGAATGTATAAATCATACAGGTTACATTATTATAGCTAATTGCGACATGAATGGATGTACCGAGCTACAGAAATATAAATGGATATGGTCGTATCATGATTTTCATTAGCCTATGTGCACCTATATATATACAGTAATTAAAAAAATTTGCTACCTATCAAATGCAAAAAGTATTTTTAAATCCAACTGGTAATTTTTGAGATTAATAATAAAAATATTTATTAGTAAAAAAAATACCTATTCTTTGTTCCCAAAACTTCAATAGGTATCCTGTGTCGTGAAGTCTTGGGCCCTCCTCTACTTACAAAAATTATTAACTAATATATAAACTTTAGATACATAAACAATTTAGATTTATACACATTTTTATATATTTTGTCATATACATATATACACATACACATACTCATAAGGATATTGTTTGATTAGTGTCTTATGGGAGGGTCAAAACAACGTTTACCGTTTCATCTAGTAGATCTATAGGTATAAAATTAGTAATCATAATCACATTCATTAAAGAACTGAAGAGTGAAAGAATAGAATGAATGAGGAAATCTGAACAATAGAATACAACATAGACGACGGCTATTTGCGAATATTTATGAAAATTTAACACATTGCATACATACAAATAATGGAATGGAATAAGGGTAGTCAAATTAATGGATTTTTATTTAAGATTACCTTTTACCACGTCTCCACGTTCACGTAATTCACCGGAAAATATTATTAAGACTAAAAATATCTTGTACTTGTAATCCTGTCCGGCTTAGTACGTCTGGTCCCGGCAATGAATAGGCCATCCCTTCCTTTCCCGGGGGTGTCATAAGAGGCGATATAAATAAAAATCTTAAAATATCTCTCAGGCCTAACTGCGGTTACTAATTCTCCTGCCAAACGTGTTCAGTAGTGGACAGTTAAGAGTTGATATGATGTTGAATGTATTCCTCTTAATAATTGCCTTGTATATATATAACTATATAACTATATATATATATAAGATTGAATAGTATTGAAATATTCTACAACAATGCACTCACCTGATTTTGGGAAGGTAACTACGAAAACATCGCTGGGTCTAACTTCCATATTGTATATTTTGAGACAATTTTCTTTGAACCCATTTGGGAAGAAGTAGCCAGTTGGACCAATACGAATACAGTCATGTTTTACACCTATGAAAAAAGGTTAATTAAATTTTATAGAATCATTAAATCGTATATAATATAAACATATATTATAATAAAATGTAATGTAATGTAAATAAATTTTTAATAGTTAAATACATTAAATAAATTTCAAAATTAATAAATACTATTTTGGCGTAGTTGCTAAAATATATTCTATCAGTATACAATGTATTTTTAACAAAAATTTTAATTAAGCTATTCTATGATTGGTATATATTTGGCATTATATATTTACCTGTTACATGTTTATGCACTTCAGCCATTTCCTCTGCAGGCACATCTTTAATTTCAAAAGGACAATTTTTCTCTGTTTCCATCTCTAACCAGACACAAATATTAACTGAAAGTAATATGGATATGTTGAATGTATCTGAACTGATCAACGGAATATAATATCTATACATTAAAATGAAATATCTAATAATTATAAACTGACTTCTGTTAGGTACAATAATATAAGTTGGTTTAAAATTTTTTTATTAATTTTATCTGGATTATTTTCCGTCGATCAGTTCAGATTGTATCTATAGATTGGTGAGTCGTTTACAGCATATAAATAATCTGTAGATACATCATAATACTTACATAATTATCGATTAGTATTAAGCACTAGACTAGACGACAAGTCAGTATCTAAAAGATCGACTGTTCTCTGTGATATGTAGTAATATATCTGAAAACTGTAGTATTATCTATATTAATAACAATTATACTATTTACACATTAACATTAATCACAAATATTAGCGAAACACTAGTTTTCATATCTTATCTGAGTAGATTATTGTTTGTATTTCCGTAAATTCGTTGCCATACAAATAAAAACACATGGATGAATAGAAGAATCCATACATACGACATTTGTACAAAATGTAAATGTTTTTTAAAATCTTTATTTTCACACAATCGCTTCTGAGCCTACAATTTTTTTACATTATGTATGATGTTATACATCGTACATAATATAAAAGAAAATGGTTAAAATATTTATTCTTGCTCGGGAAGAAGTGTTCAGATTCTTCGTAAATGGGAATCCCCAATCAACTTGAGACTTCCTAAAGTTTGGGGTCCGTATCTTTTCCTTTTAAATACAGGCCTATATGGGTATTACAATGGTGATTCTAAGAGTAGTGTCTTAAGTCAAACTGACTCGAGTATTGACTCGAATGCCTACTGGATACTCAGGTTACTCAGGATACTCAGGTACTCGATTCAATTCCTTACGGTACTCGAATAGTAGTCAAATGTTTATTGTAAGTTTTGTGTTTATTTTATTTAAAGTTTTATTAACTGATTTTTTTTTCCTTAGAAAAAATATTACATTAAATAATGCTGGGCTGGATTATATATTAATTTATGTCTGACTGTATTTTTTAATTAGTATTTTATATTTCTAAAACATAATTTATATAATAGAAAAATATTTTATATTTTAAATACACACGAAATATTATTTTGTAATTTGTATTTTAATTAAAGTCAAGTATATATTTTGCTATACTCTGCTTATCTCCAACAACACTATTGTCTATTAAAATGGCCATAGCCGGGGGGGGGGGGGAGGACATTGAGGGGTAATGCTCTATGTTAAAAGGCCCAATACCCTACCTTAAAATGAAAGGCCCCAAGAAAATTAGACAGATTCGTGTTTTTGAAGTCACTTAATTATGCCTTCTGCCCTTTCAAAAAATTCTTTTGCCCTACCTTAAACATGGGTCCAGCTATGGCTCTATCTATTAATCAAGTCCATGTAAAAATAACTAAAGAATTGGAAAAGGATTGAGAGAGGTCGTCAATCCATCTAGTAGAGGGTTGACCTACACTGTGTTTGCCCATACGGGGTCATCCATCTGCTTTCAGAAGCTCTGTTGTATGTCTTCCCCCTTTGCCTTACCGTTTTTAAGATGTTTAATAGCCATTTTAATGTCCTGCAAACTAACGTCCGGATACCATCGGTGTAGTGTCGGGTGACTTTAGTTCTTTGGTCGTTATTCGCATATAGTACGTGATGTAAACGACGTTGTGTGTCTGTAGAACTTCGCAATCTCAATCAAAATATCAGATGGTGTCGGTCTTCAACTTTGTTAGTTGGATTCACTCAATAGTTAAATCACTAAATCTCTGGTGAACTTATATTACTTATATTTTTAATTAATATTAACAAGTAAGAAGTAAATTTATTTTATTTTTATATAAACTATGACATTGATTAAAAAAATGTGTTTGATATAAAAGAAAAAAATATTTATTCTATAACGTCTAGATAAAAGACATTAACGATTAATATATTTGTATTCAATTTAATTTTAATTGTTATTGCGCGACTTATAAGAAATATAAAAAAATATATATAACATTGATATTGAATTCTACATTGCCTTTTTTTGTTTTGTAACTGCCTACAACAAATCAAGATTCAAGATATTTTATGCCGATCATTTTACATCGGCGCTGCTGAACATTAATTAAGATAATATTTTCTGTTAAAACAATAAAAATCTTTTAAGATGTTAACAAATACCGTTTTATATTTTAATAATAATAATAATAATTTAATAAAGGCAACCAGGGCCCACAAAATTTTAACAATATTAATTTGCACCAACTATAAATTATTAAATATTTTTTTTTTTAATAGCATTAACTTAACCTATTTTTTTATGTTAGCCAGTATATGAATCATTCTGCAACGATTCAAATACTGGCAGTCTGGACGGTCCGCAAATACCCTTAGGATAGCGTTAGAGCTGTCCCGGACCCTACGCATCAGCTCAATTGATTTTAAAAATATAGATATTTTCGTTAGCGTCATATTTTTACTGTTATAAATGATTTCATGAAACAAGTATTAAGGCAGAAACGTAGCGCAGTATCGTACAGCAGATTCTTTTACTATCATTTATTTAAATTAAATTTTTGTTTTGTTTTTACATTCTAGCACCTGTAGTTTAAAAATCACATGACAAGTTTACGAATGTAATAAAGACCGAAAGCTGAATATACATTGTCATTAAAGTTCTTATTATAATTATTGTTTGTGTGTGTATATGTACTTATAGAACTATAATCATAAATGTAATTAAGGGAGAAGAGGGACTGACACGACCTTAGGGTATAGGCTTAGGTTACTTTATAATCCAAGGTCGGGTCAGTCTCCCCCTCCCTTATCAGCACGTTATATTACGTCTATGGATCCGATAGACATTATTCTGAAGCTATTGAACTATGTCTATGTCAGTCCATCTACGTATAAATAAGTCTCTATGGGAGAATAGGGTCTTTACATTCTTCAATAGTAAATTTTTTCAACTTTTCATAAGAACCTTTTTTTTTTAATAGTCGAATTGGTATAACGTAGTGATTATTGGCTCAGTATTCCAGCCATTCTTGAATTTTATGCTTAGCAACATATACAACCATTTATTTTCATTTATATAAATAGATTACCTACTAAAATATTCGTAATGTTATAATATTTTAATAAATAAATATTTGGCAGCGACTGCTTTGTAGGTAAATGTGGGTAAATATAAAATCTCAATCGTTGCCTTCCGTATAGTCTAACTTCAAGCTACAGCTGAAAATTAGTGCTTTGCTTTTAAGCAAAATTATCACTAAGCCTATTTGGGCCACTGCGACACACATTGCGAAAACATATTTTTGTATTTTATCTTTTGTTTTATTTGAAAAAAAAAATGCAATTAATTTGATTGTATGAATTCAGATGTTAATTTATGTGTGTCATAAATGATTCAAATAAAGTTTTTATCTATCTATCTATAATAAATCAAGTTTAATATTATTTCAACTTATAAAATAAGTATTCGTATGAAGAATTTGTCTATCTTTTGTGTTTGTGTTACCTGCACGATTACGTTGGCAATTGTCTTCACTTTTCTTGGCTTAAATATTTTCACGAATATTGTTCGAAGTTCTGCAATCGACCAGCTCAGTATATGTATTAGTTGTGTGTTATGTTAACATATTATGCATTACCATATAATTACCATATGTCTTATCATTTTACCATTTATCAGTAAACAGTATGTTAAGTACGTATAAAGTACTTTTATTAGACTATATTTTATATTCAACAAATACCTCCTCAAATTAAAGATCCACCAAAACTGCACACATTGTTTTTTATTTATTTATTTATACTTTTGCACACATTAAAATATGTCTACAGGGCGGATTTAATGCCTGGCAAAAATTTAATGGCATTCTCTACCAATCAAACGTTACGCTTAATAGAGCGAGTAGGTAAATGGCGGTGCATACATATAAATTTTATTTTTTTTTTACAACACAGGGGCAAACGAGCATGCGGCTCACCTGATGGTAAGTGACTACCGCCGCCCATGGTCACCCACAACACCTACGGCATTGCAGGTGTGCTGCTGGCCTTTTGTAAATGTAAATTAAATAAATATTTTGAGAGATAACAATAATTTATGATACCAGGTCAGATACCAGGTCACTCAGAAAGTATTGCGAGGAAAAGTTTTTATGCAATGAGACTGGCCACTTATAATTTATTTAAACATATGATTACTTCTAAGTAAAAATAGGTACGTTCTAAATTCAAAACTTCCCTCCACATTTTTTTGCGAGCTAATTGAAATTACCGTTTCTCTTTGAAAAATGGATTTGCGTCGAGAATATTTTCGCGCTATGATTTTTTACGATTTTAAGTGTCGCCTGAAACCGGACGAACCGTACGATAGACTTCAAATGGCATTCATGCATGAAGACCCTTCTAAAGGAGCCGTGTAATATTTATATAATGAATTAAAACGCGGTCGACTAACTTTGGGGGATGAAGAAAGAAGTGGTCAGCTCTTTGACGGCTGTTACGGAAGAAAACGTGTTAGCAGTGAAAAATTTGATCCAAGACAATAGACGAGTTACATACCTAGAGATTCAATATATACTGCAGATTAGATCAGGAAATCTTCACGAAATTCTACACGTGCATCTATGGGTGCGGAGGATAGTTTCTGGAAACTATTGTGACTAATTTATCATTAAATTTGTCACGATGGGCTAACTGACCTGCCTTTTCATCCTGAGACGGTTGTTAGTTTATTATAAAACCATATAAATTCCGTTGTTGACACAGTGGCAATTTTAATCTGTTATTGTATTTACAGTGTAAGTGTTAATCGGTAAGTGGTACATTTATAGATAGAATATTAGTTTCTTAGGTAAGTGAATTTTAGGCAATCTTGGTCGAAAAAAACAATAGAATCAATATCAACCAGTCGATATCACGAGAAATCTGGTAAAGGGATTCCATCGAATTTTATAATTGAGTTAGATTAGTATATGATACTTACGTCTGTTTGTTACATCATTACAAGAAAATATGATTAGAAGTATTTAACCAAAATTGTACTTTGTAATGGTTACATAGCACTAAAATTGGTGTATTGTATTATTTTTAATTAAAATCTAATTTAAATTAAAAAAATCGACAATCCGAACCCTATATATATTAATACCGCTCTTCTTCTCACTTTAAATATACATACATTCACACTTCATCTTCTCTCACATCACACACTGAACGTTGTTTTGAAATTTTTATTAATTGTAATCTTTTAGTTAAAATTTAATTTCTGTTTTTTTTTTTTTTGTTCATTCTGTTTATATTATAACTTAATATTGTTAATTCTGCATGAACAAATACATAGTATTAGTTCTTGTGTGTTGGAAGGAACTGGCTTACAAAGCACAGGTTACCCTATTTTGTAAGCCAGGGCAAAAAATATGTAACAGTGCAACCCTGGATTTGTCAATAAAGGCATAGATAATATAATAGTATTATTATAATCTTGCTTAAAATTGTTACAGACTTTTCTTTCGAATAAATTTAAGTACTTTAGAATATTCAATTTCTAATTATAATGTTAAATGAAGTTTCATTCGAACACCAATTTAAAGATAATAGTTTCCTATCAATTTGCAGTTACAAAGTTGAATAATAAATTATATCCACTTGAACTTTAAATATAAAATTGCTCCGTAATTTTATCAGCCGACTTCTAAATGTAGCAGGTTTTCAATTCGGTTGTATTTTTTTATGTTTGTTACTTCAATGAAGTTTCGTTACTAGTAAACCAATTTGGATTTTTTTTATCTAAAAGAATATAGTTACATATTGGTCCCATAGAAATTTTATCAAAATTGAGTATTATCATTTTTAGATGAAAAATAGAGTTTTGCCATAATTAAAGTCGGTTTTTTTTTGTGAAACACAATCTTATTTGTTTAATTAAATAAATAAGATCTACGGCAATATATACCTAAAACCACGTTTTGATATAGATGGAAGCGGAGAAGAAATATCCTTTAGAAATTAAAGATGTACCATCAGAGGAGCTGTGGTGCAAAAGTATTTTACTAGTAAGTGTGACGCAATTATTGAATCTCACTAAAGGGACATTTTTGAGACATGAAAGAATGATATTAAAACCTTCAAGAAAAGAGTATGCTCCTTCTTAAGAGGCCGGAAATACGCCTGTAATTTCTCGAATGTTGCCTATAGGCGACAGTAATCACTTATCATCAGGTGCGCCGCATGCTCCTTTGCTGCTTATGTCATAAAAAAATATTCGTGTACAATTAGGAATCTCTAAATTAGATTTCTAAATTTACACACGAAATTATATCTACTCTCAAGTAAAACATTTTAATTTTAAAATGCGTGTTCTAATAAAGTTGGTCAACTTTTTGATGTGAAAATTGTATGAATTCCTTTTTAACTCTGTTGAATATTACTAAAAAATAATTTATTTGTTACATTTTTGTGAAATATGTATATTTTTACTATTATAATCTTAATGAAGTTTCAGACAATACTATAAACATCACAAAATGTACTGTGACTGTGATTTTTTGCCTAAAAAAAAGAATTTCAGTGGGTTTTTCTACGGTATATTTTACAGTTTTATGCCAACTTGATGATTTGGAATTAATTTGATCGATAGATTAATCCATATTCTATATCAAATTTTTAATTATATAGTGAATCTTAATCTATTTTCTTATCTCGTAAAAGTTCCATGGAAACGGTAACGGATCAAGAGGTTTGTAATGTAATATTTTTTGTTTTTAAATATATAAAAACTTATTAAATTTTGCACGTCTAGAAAGTATAAATATATTATAAATTAAGAGTAGTATTCCATGCTTCAAAAAGTGACTTTACGCTGTATGGTGCATTGATGTATAATGTGGTAGTGAAGCGCGGTTGTATGAATAATATGGAGTGTATACACAAGGCAGCACGGCGCGTTTTAAATTTTTGTTTATACAACTTAGAATGGCAAACAAGCTGACAGTCCACTTGATGGAAAGTGGTAACCGTCGCCTATAAACATGAGCAGTACCATGGACATAACAGGGTATACTGTTTCGCCCATGATACCCCCCATGCGTTGCTATTCTTGAGGACTCAGGTGTTATTCCTCTGTACCCTGTAAATTCACGCCATACCCCATCCTTCAAACCGAAACACATCCATGCAAACACAACTGCTTCACGGTTGAAACACGAATGGGACAGAGGTACCCAAGCAATCGACTTTTGTACAAAGTCTCCCTCTGGTATAGGTAAATGTCTTGTAAATTCTAAATAATTGCTTAATACATTCATCCTCAATGTAATTCTATGTTCTAATTGTAAAAAATTAAGTGTTTATAACATTATCATCATGCTAGCCATTAACTGTCCACTGCTAAACATAGACTTACCTCATAAAAAGGGGGTTTTACCAGTAGTTGCCATTCTTGGCAGGCGGGTAAGCAATCGTAGTTAGGCTTTGGTGATGTTTCAAGAGGGACGCTGCTTTTATGTATTTTTAAAAAGAAAAAAGTTTCTTAATTCGACTGTATTTTTTAGTCTATGTTACGCAACATTTTTACCAATTTTGAGTTGCGTTTTTTTTAGAATCAAAATATTTAAATAATATGAACGGGTTGTTTTTATTTATAATTTATAAAAGATGTTACCTACCAATGTGTAAAATTTCATTCAATTCTGTTTAGCTATTTAAGCGTGATTGATTAACAAATATACATGTTTACAAAGATTCCATCTGAGGTCGCGCCCGTGCCTTAGTGTAGTCACATTAAACCTATTTGCTATTCTACGGATTATTTACTATTTGGATGTGAAAATTTATAGTAGAACTACAGAAATCTTCAGATAATGAAGACAATTTGGGATCTCTTGACATTCTCAGACAAATAGCAGTAGCTATTAATATTGTATTAATGTATAATTTTAAAATAAATATTTGATAGATTATACGTCAGATGACCTATTATATAAGTCTATTTATTTCTCCTAGTTGATTATAACGTGAACATAATATCTATATTTAAGAGTTATGCTGTTTGTTTTGTACACTCTACTAATAATTGCTTTCTGATGCGCTAGCATTGCCACAATTAATATTTCTCTCATTTTTAGGTAAAAAAGTAAAATCGGTATAACAATTTTGGGTAATATATTTTAGTGTTTATTATGTCCTTAGTAAAAGCCTTTATAGAGTTATTTGGTAAGATCATAATAGAAACAGACAAATGTTTCGGTTTAGTTTAAAATGAAGAAAATCGCATCAATATGGACAAAAAAAATATTAGAAATTTGAGGAAAATAAAAATGGCATTTGGCAACACTGTTGTCGCTTTTATTTATCATGTCTGCCATCACTAATGCTGCCAGTTTAGGCAATTTTTCGCCGCTTAGGCTAACTAGTGTGGTTATCGGGCGACCGAAAATTGCAATTTACGATTCGTCAATTAGAGTATTTCAAAAAATATATGTCGGCGATTTTAGGTTATACAGAACATTTATAGTCAAATTTTGATAACTTAGACAATTTTTATGTAGCTTTAATAGAATCTTAGCAGAAAAGATAGTAAGTTGTGAAGTATCCTGTACATTTAGTAGCACATATATTATCTTTATTCTTTTCTCTAACTTAGATATACCAAAACTTATTAAATTCACACTAATAATAATATCGAAACACTGTCATAAGAACGATGTGTCATGCTTACGCATTGCTCTTATGACAGTGATTATGTTTCGATTTTGTTTAAATCAAAGTTTTCGCCTTACAAAAGTGTACGTTTTTATTAACCCTGACCTTTTTAGTGTTCCATACAAACAAAAGAACATTTATTTATTTATTTAAGATAAGTAACAATATTTCTAACTAGTAAGAGTTTATGAAAAATTATCAAAATATCTCCAAAATAAACAAGTTTTTCGGTTGCATTTTTTTTGTTTGTTACCTTATATAATCCTAATATAAATATATAAATACCTTATATAAATCGATTTAGATATTTTTTTTTATATGAAATGATGTACTTCTAGATTGGTCACATAGAAATTTCAGTAGATTAGAAACTGTTTCAATAGTTTAAATTTGGTACCTAAATAACTGATTTTGCCACAATTGAAGTAATTTTTTTTATAGAACGCAATCTTAAATTATTTACAGGCACTTTTGAAGCGAGGGAGAGGGTGTAGATTTTAACAATTTTAGGCTATTTTGCTATAAGGAAATATATAAGAAATCTAGGCGACTTTAGGCTACTTGTGATTGAGTTTTTGGCTAATTCCGGTCTATTTTATCTGGCAACATTGGTCATCACTGCATTATTAGTAATCAGTACGAGTACCTATGTAAGTATGTTATTTATGTTACGTTGTTTGTGCTATTATTGTTATACTATATTTTATGTCTTTTATGTAAGTACATTTGAGTCTATTATGGTTAAATTAAGCAATGGAATACAAATTAATTAATCTTCATCGCGATAAAATGTCTGAACGAAATTCACAACAATTTTATAACTCTATTTGTTTACAAAATAAATTTAGACTATAGGTACGTATAGTATATCAGCGGAATGAGTTCAAGAGCTGATCTTAGATCAGTTAAGTATTAGCGAATATATGTATATATTTTTTTAATGGATGATAATGGAGTGGCAATCCCGCCTGCGCTAACGATATACGCTGGTGGGGTACCAGTGAGGGATGACAGGTGATAATGAAAAGGCAGGTCAGTTAGCTCATCGTGATGAATACACTTGGGATTCAGCACGATGGTTTCCAGGAAGGACCACGTGGAGGTCGACTTGACATTATATATTGCTAGCAATGGGAGTGGTAGTTCGTATTTGTAATACCCTCCCCCCCCCCCCGTTGATATTTTCACAAGCGTTATATTTATTTTTTTGATGGGTGAAAATAGTATGGTAACCCCGCCTGCGCTAACGGGATATGCTGGCGGAGCACCAGTGAAGGGTGATAGATGAGAATGAAAACAGGCCAGTTAGCCCATCATGATGAATTCATCAGGAATTAACCATGATAGTTTCCAGGGGGAACCGTGAGGAGGTCGACCTGGTTGGGTATATTGCTAGCAATGGGATTCTCAGTTTCCATTACTAACAATCCTTTTTCCCCCACAAGCGTTATATTCACACGATATAAGACTTATACTATACTACTTATACTATAACAACTAAACGATAATGGCATACCGAGGCAAGATTTCCACATAATAACAAAAACAGGATCACCACTCATTACCGGCTATTACTGAGATGCACCTGGGTAAATTATTGATGGTACCCAGCGCTCTGCGTGACGAAATAAAAGGTCATTGGGATATCCTGTTCACTTTAAATTTCTAGTTTAGTATGCAACTTTATTGATTGAGAAGTCGAAAGATATCGAGGTTCTGCAACAGTAGAAATATTGGGGTGAGTTAGCTAATTTGTTTTCATCCTCACTCATCATTTCACACTGATGCTCCGCCGACGTATATCGATAGCGCAGACGGGATTACCATTTCATTTTCATCTCCTAAAAAATACTCAAATAATTATCCGAATTCTTAGAGTCGATTAAGGCTTTAATAGTTTTTTAACAATTACCAAAATACTCGAATATCAAGCCGACTTAGCACAACACTACTTTCCGGTGTGTATAGTACCTACTGTTCTTAGGGGTGGGGCGGTTGGGCGATCCCCGGGACGTTGATTCAAAGGGACGAGCGAAAGAAGCGCAAAGTAATGTTATGGGATGTAATAGAGATGCGGATCAAGTGTGGGTGATGTCGAAATGGGTAATGGCCTTTTTTCATTGTCGTCATGGAGAGAGGTCGCCAAAAATTGCTCATGAACGCTAGGTACAGATAACTGCTGACTGACTGCCCCTGTGTGTGTGTACTATGTAGGAGAGTATTAAATATAAACTGTATTAAGGATAAGGTTCATAATAAATTAAATAAAATACATAAATTGTAGTTTATTTTTAATATAAATTTTATATAGTAACGACAGTTTTTGTTCACTTAGAGCTACAAGTTTTTTTATGAGAATTCGTATTAGAATATCATACAAGCGGCTTATCTGATAGAAAGTTTTAACCGTCATCTATAGACATGACATGGATATTACATAATGCTCTGTGAACCCATGGTTCTCGAAAAATTTCTGAAAATTATGGTCCTATGCTTCTGTACCCCTATAATTTCTCTGTTATTACAGATCTCGCCTTTCAAATCAAAACAGTTGTTTCACGGCAGAAACACAATGCAGAGTACAAAAATGAAGATGAAGTTTTTGAATATTTCATCATTTCAGCTTTTAACTGCCCACCGCTGAACACAGGTCACCCTCTCAGATTGCCATAAGGAAGGGTCCTGAGTCACCAGCTTTCGCTGAATACCTGCAATGCATTTGAGGCTGTTGCTCCATCTAATTAAGGGGTCGTCCCACAGTGCGTTTGACTGTGCAGGATCGCTATTCGAGAAGTTTTCTTCCCCATCGGTTGTAGTTTCTTCGAGCTATGTGACCAGTCCATTGCTACTACAGCTTGTTTATCTTTCGGATTATATCAGTCACTTTGGTGCATTTGCGGTTATCCTCATTTCAGATTCGATGAAATTCTTTATGTGATGACGTAAAGAATGTACTTCTAAATTAAAACTGCTGTGTATTTTTTTGTATTCTAAATAACTGTACAGATATCGATAGAGTGTTTAAGACACAAAAGAAATGCTGACGATCTGTATTTGTCGGCGATTTCCAGGAATCCTCTCGTCCATTATTTACAAAAAATAATCTTCTAACTGTAGCTTGTATGTATATAAAAAAAAAATTGTATTTTTATTAAAGAATATCCAGAATACTTTCCACTGAAATAGACAACTACAATAAAATCATTACGCAACAGATCCCTAAATAAAATAAAATTACCCACAATAAAATTAACGTTAACGCAAAAAAGTCCATATAATATGACGGTGAGAATTTTTAATAATCTTCCAGATAATTCAAGAACTCTTTCTGGAGTGACATTTAAAAAAAATGTTCGAATGGCTAGTTGAGACGTGTTTTTACTCTGTTAGGGATTTCATGACGGATTAAAATTATACGTACGAGATTTGTACTATCGTTATCGTTATATTTATTACACATCTTACCTATTGACTTTTTTATTTTTATTAGTACATCTCATTTTTATTTTTTGACTATTTCAACTAATTGACTGAATAAAATAATTTGTATTACATTTCTAATTAATGTCATTTTATTATTATATAATTTCGTCATGTTTTAATTCTACAAAAATTTTTTTTAATTAAATTATTGTAATTTTTGTTTTCAATATTTGCACGCTTGACCTAAGCACTTTTAATTTATAAGATCAAATGTTTTATACCCAAAATTGTAGCAAATAAAAATTATTATTATTAATCACAGGAATAAAGACGTTTTGATAAAGATGGAAGCAGAGAAAAAATATCCGTTAGAAATCAAAGATGTGCCTCCAGAGGAACAGGCTGAGGTCCATAAATATTTAACTAGTAAGTGTTCATGTATTTATTAAATCTTACTGTATTCGCTGTTTTCACAGATACGAAGGTAATTAAATAGATGTCGCAAGAAAAGACACTTTTCGTGCAAATAATACTGTAGTATTAGTAGATTCAAAAAACTTTCTTGAACTCTGGCAGAATTAGGCGTTTTTATAATAAATTAAGTTGATAGGTGTAAAAAATGAGAGAGAAGTAAATAGGAAGACAAAAACTCTATTAACATGTATTTTCGTAAGGGTTTGATGTGAATAATAGTTTATTATTAATAAGTACCATTTGGGTGTCGTAAAGTTAAAAGAGGCCGAGAGATGGGTAGCAGCGGTCCTCTTAAAACATCTGCAAAGCCTAACTGCGGTTGCCAATCCGCCTGACAACTTCTGACAAAACCCCCCAAGGGGAAGGTTTATGTTCAAGAATGGACAGTTAAAGACAGATATGATGATAATGAAGTACTATTTATGATATAGTAATATAATTAAACGTGCCATATAAACTTACTATTCGTATGTTAAGTTTACCACACGTTTAGTTTTAATATCACATTCTCCATTTATTTTTATATACTACTAGATAAATCGGCAAAAGTTGTTTTGCTCCCGAACACCCCCTATTGTATAATGTTGTAAAACATTGAATGTACTTTGCACGCTCAAATAACTTTCCCTTGTAATTAAAAAATACTGAAGATACAAATGCATTTTAATGTAAGACGCCATGACAGAAAAAAGTTACATTAACAATGTTGCCAATTTTATGTACAAATATCATAGAATATACTACATATTGTGTCCATTTTTTAATGGAATTAAAACTATTCTGTTACGCAAGTTGAAGCAAATAAAAATTCTTGAGAAATCGATAGAGCGGTTTTAGAGAGTACCGTGAACGAACATTGTGACTCAGAAATTTTATAATAATATGTATATTTATAATAATTAATAGTAATAATACTAATAATTAATACTTAATAGTAGTTAATTTTAAACTTTTACATTGTTGACACGTATTTTTAAATACACTATCAAGACTTAACGCAACAACGTTGGCAACAAACAAGCGGGTATGTAAATATTTACAAATATTTTTTATCGCATTAAGTCCCGATAGTGCATTTAAAAATAGTATAACGTATTCAAGATATAGTCTCTCTGGCTCAAGTTATATTCGTCATAGGTATATCAAACCGAAAATGAATAGTACTATCCCTGAAACCGGAAAGTTGTTCAACTTTCCTTAAGGAGCATACTCGAAATATGTTAATTATTTCTTAAATATTTTTTAAATTGATCACGTGATGATATTTTTTAAACTGAACAACTTTCCTCGAGGAGTATATTAAAAATATGTTAAATATTTCTGAAATATTTTTTCTAAATTAATCACGTGATAATATTTCTGAAACTGAACAACTTTCTTCAAGGAGCATACTCGAAATGTAATGTTTTATCAAATCAATCTTTAAAAAAACATTTTCATATTACGACTGCCCATCTATGAAGAAAATTTTCGGTTTGGTATCGATTTTCCAATTAGTTTTTTTTTTGTTAAAATAAATCAAGTGGTTTTTTTATGTAAATAAAAAAGAGAGAAAGTCTCTTAATTCGACTGTACGTTTCTATTTTGAAATATCATTATAATATATATAGATTTACTGTATTTGATGGACTTGAAGACATTTATTTTCACAGATGCGAAACCTGATTATATTCGTATGGGCTCCACTGGCTACTTCTTTCCAGATGGACTTAAAGAAATTTGTAATAAAATATACAATATGGAGGTGAGACCCAACGATGTATTCGTAGTCACCTTCCCAAAATCTGGTAAGTATATTTGTATAGGATTCAATACTAAACTTATAGATTTTGTTATTTTATAGTCACAACAAGTGTAGTTAGCATATTGTATGATTCTCATTTTCAATGGACTTCAAAAAGAAAACAGCGGGTCTATCATGAAATTTATTGAATGAAATTTTAATTTCGAAATTTCGGACTCTATTTCGTGTTTTTGTTTATATCAAAATCGGATCAATAAGTGGAGTTTAACATTTCGTTCGTCATACATCCTATCATAAAAGTCCAAAGGAACAATATTTTAACATTTTTAATATTTCCAAACGGCATGGATTATGTAATTTTAACATCAAATTTGTTTCGTTGGGCTCCAAAATTTCGGAAAACATTTCATGGTAGGCCCTCAGTTCTTAATTTGGTTGTGTTTTTTTTATGTTTGTTATTTCATAACGGTAACAGAGTGATCCGATTTGGAAAACCTTTTTTTATATGAAAAGATTTTTTTTTTATACTTATAGATTAGTCTCATAAAAAATTATCAAAATCGGTTCAGTAATTTAGTTTTAAATCAATATAACTTGTTTTTGTTGCGTATACTGTGCTCATCATGCCCTTAGTTTTTTCATCGGTTTTATCATCTTTAAACCTATTAACAATCTAATTTCTATATTTTTATGGACTAATTTCATACTTCCTAAATATTAATTTCTTCTCAAAAGAATACATGTGTTCACTTAGCTAATTTATAAAAGTAAGTTGTATAATTATCACTAGAATACCCATTCTGACGTTCCTTATCTTTTTACAAATGCTCCATTACATTTTTAAACTTAATCAAATTTAGGAAAATAAGTAATAGTCATACAATTGCATTTTAAGGCACAACGTGGGTTCAAGAGCTAGTTTGGTTGATAGGAAATGATTTGGATTACAAAACTGCATCGAACGTGCAGCTCTTTCAAAGATTTCCTTTCTTAGAGTAAGTATTTTTAACGTTCATTAGCTATCATGTATGAAGTTCAGCATAGATGAAAATATTTAGTAGTCGTTGCAAATTTGAAGATATTTATTGATAATGTTGACAGTTAAAATTAATTCGATAATATTTTTTCAATTCTTGGATTTTTTTTCATAAAGTAATCGGCTATTTACGAGACCTGTTATCGACTACCTAATCGTACCACTTTAGATTGAATCGCAGCTCCTTAAATGTTAAAATAGGTATATACCTACTTAAATGTTTTTTAGGTTTACAATGGTTTTACGCAGTCCAAAAATAAATAAGTGGCTTGGAGAAAGAGTGGAAACAGATCCTAAGTTGAGACCTTTTTACGAAAGTTTTACACGCAATTCAAGAAGTGACGCTACAATATTCAAAGCACCTTCGCCTCGCTTCATCAAGTCTCACCTGCCATTCTCCCTACTGCCGCCCACATTGCTGGACACTGCGAAAGTGGTGTACGTAGCAAGAGACCCAAGAGATGCCGCTGTCTCCTATTATCACCATTGCAGAATGATGTTGCTCCATGGTTTTGGTGGTGATTTTAGAGCATTCTGGAATCTGTTCATTAACAATAAAGGTGGGGAAGGTTTCCTGATTAAAATAATCTCTTTCGTGAAATGCTGCTTATTATTTACGAGTAGCAGCTTCGTCTACGTGGTTTAATTTAAAAAAAATCCATATGTTAATACAGGATAGATCTATCTGTGTACCAAATTTTATTTGAGTTCATTCAGCCATTTATACATGTCGTCATATTTACTTAAATAACAAAGTTTCACATTTACAATAATATTTAGCATTTTCCCTATAACATGTACTTATAGTGCGTATCTATTACTTATTCTGGGTGTTTAAGAGCAAAAGATTAATTTAAATTTTTTGATTGACCGATTTCAAAAAGGAGGTTCTTATTTCGGTTGTACTTTTAAAGGATATACATACTTACAGATTAGTCCCATAGAAGTAAAATCGAAATCGGTTTGGTAGTTTAGTTTCAAATCATAAGAACTGATTTTGTCATAACTGAAGTAGATTTTTTTGTAGATATAATCTTTATATACTCGTAGATTTCCTCGATAACTATGTAGGTACTCAAACGTATAAAAGAATAAATATGATTTAATAATATGTAATACACTAACGCACGGTCAAAATTACAGGAACTAGAATTTATAGAAAGTGTCAGAGTTATTATTATCTATGTCTTTGGTTCCATCTTATTTCGGGTGCAGTTTTAGAGGCAACCAGATAAAAAAATTGCAACGTTTTGTTCTCATTCGAAAAAAAGTTGAAATGAAAAATCTTATAAAGACAAATATTTACGAATATGCAGTGGCAAATTAAGGCCTATTTTTCAAAGTGCGCCCTTAAAAAGGCGAACATGTACTCTCAGGCATGTTCTTACCAGCTGGTATACGCCCATTCGAGTATGTAGCGCAATCTATTTCAACATAAATGATTTTATAGCCCGACACAATAAAAAATTAATATTTTTTGACAGTTGACTACACACCGTATGAAGCACATATCAAAGAAGCTTGGGAGAAAAGACACCATCCCAATATGCTGTTTCTGTTCTATGAAGAACTGTCTAAGGTTAGTCTCATAATAAGTAAAGTAATTTAAATAAAGTTCCGTAACCGTATTACAGGGTGGCCCATAAGTCCTTAGTAATGAAAAAATTAATTAAAATAAAACTAATTACACTATGAATAATATTTTTATTTGTAAATATAGCTAGAAAAACGGGAATTATTTTTTGTAAATAACGTCGTCCAAATGTAATCCGTTACAGTCACGGCACTCTTGCAAACGCCTTCTGAAATTGTCGATGACTGCGCGGCACGTCACTGCTGAAATGCTTGCCATTTCTCTGCGGATGTTTTCTTTTAGGTCATTAATTGACCGCGGGTTAGAGTCGTACACTTTAGCCTTAAGGTAGCCCCACAAAAAAAATATCCATTAGAGTCAGATCCGGACTACGTGGTGGCCAGGAAATGTCTCCTCTCTTAGAGATAACTTTGTTTGGAAAAAGTTGACGGATAACGGGCATAGCAGTATTGGAGGTGTGGGAAGTTGCTCCATCCTGTTGAAACCATGTTCGGGCATTAAAGCCTGGAAAGTTTTGCAATTTTTGTGTGAAAAACTCCTCGATCATGGCCACATATCGCTCCGAAGTAACAGTAACAGCACGCCCTCTGCCGTCCTCAAAAAAGTAAGGCCCTATGATGCCATGGGCTGACATAGCGGCCCAAACTGTAACTTTAGGGCTATGTAAGGGCTTCTGGTGCTTAAGTTTTGGATTAATCGGGCTCCAATAGCGGCAATTTTGTTTACTAACATGTCCGTTAATGTGGAAGTGTGCCTCATTAGAGAACATTATGTTATTGAACGAAGTAAACCGATTAAACATTTCATTAGCATAATTCACTCTCTGAATAGCATCAGTTTCTTTTAATTCTTGCACCAACTGAATTTTGTAAGGGTGCATAAGTAAATCTTTCTTCAAAATCCGTTGTAACGATGTCCTGGATACGTTTAATGCATTGGAACGCTTACGAGTTGACTGTGTAGGATTTTCACGAATAGATTGTGCCACTGTGTCGATGTTTTGTTCCGTACGTGATGTCCTTGGGCGACCCAACCGCGGTTTATCTAACGTCGAACCGGTCTCCTCGAACTTAGCAACCCAATTCTTAATCGTTTGGAGAGCTGGGGTGTCATCAAAGTTGTGTAAACCTTTGTGTTCTCGAAATTTACGCCTCGCAACGGTTGCCGAATTGTTGTTTTGATAAAACTCGCGCACACAAAACGCACGGTCCGCTCCGGTGAAACGCTCCATCGCGACTAAATTCCCAGAAACCGAAGTTACTGCCCCCGCTTCCCCTGCACCGCTCACGCGCGTCGTTTTCGTTTAATTCCAAATTTTACTTTTCTAAGGACTTTTGGGCCACCCTGTATTATGCAAAGGATTCCTGATTATTTATTCTATAAAAAAAATGAGATAAGGACATAAAATACGTTCATAACTGTATCTAATTTATAAATTATGATACCGCACAACTCAAAGCCAAGGAAAAACTAAAAAATGAGGATTTTATTTTATTTATATATCAGTAAATTTTGAATTCATATTTAAATTATTTACACAAACATTCGTACCCACTTCGTCGACAAATTGTAATTATTTATTTAATCCTGACTAACATTGATATTTCCTAATATTAATTTTGATTTTGACATTAACATTGATCGCTCAATTGAATTGATCGATTAAATAGAATGCGCCACCGTTCCTTTCCCGTGCATGTCGTAAGAGACGACTAAGGGAACTTAATGTCCGAGGGATGGGCAGCAGTTTTCCTCTTAAAACATCACCAAAGCCTAACCGCCAAACAAAACCGTTGTGGTTGTCAACCAGCCTGACAAGCGTGGCAAATACTGGCAAAACGTCTCAAAAGGCCTATGTTCGGCAATGGACAGTTAACGGCTAATATGATCAACTGAATCGATTTCAAAAACTTCCCAAGTGCTAACAATCACACGTTTTTTAACTATGAATTGGGCTATGTCAGGATTTGCCGGCGGCAGTGCGTCGTGTATCGCAGTTCCTCAACAAGCCGGTAACGGAGGAGCAAGTTATGCGACTCTGTGACCACTTGCACTTCGATAACTTCAGAAAAAATATGTCGGTCAACATGGATATATTCAAACATATCGGCTTAATAAACAAAGATGACCATTTCATTAGGAAAGGTAATTTAGCTAATGGTTACAAAAATTAGGAGTAGATAGATAAATTGATATGAACAATGTTGAAAACGATGGGTCCTCTACGATAGGTCGAATGACAAAATACCAATTGTCGTATTGTAGTGCCCAAATCCGGAACACTAATGCCCCAATGCGACCAGGTACTTTTTGGGTAGTAACTTTAAAATTTTTTGAGTACCTTTTGAATTAATTACTTTTTAATAGGATAGAATATAAAACATTAAAATCGACAAAACATGTTGAGCTTCTACACTAACACTGCGCGTCTAACCATAAATTTAGATTATTTAACTATTTAATGGAAGTTTCAAAAGTTTTGGTTTTTGTTTTGAAGGGTGGGATATGGCAGTGAATTTACAGGGTATAGAGGAATAACAACCTGAGCCCTCAGGAATGGCAACGCATGGGGGATATCATGGGCGAAACAGTATACTCAGTTATGCCTATGGTACTGCCCATGTCTATAGGCGACGTTTACCACTTTCTATCAGGTGGGCCTCACTCAATCTTCATCACATAATCACGTTACACAGTGAACTTGAGAATATATTTTCTGCTACAAACAAAATACAGTAGATATATTTTATATGTATTAACAAATTTAAATAGCAGATAATTACAAATGTATCTATAGATAAATGCATTGATATATAATTAGTACTTTTGATTCGTTTAAAATTACTCAAATTTTATTACAATGTTGAACTTATATATTAAGTCTGATGTCAGGCAAGGCGGGCGGATGGCGAGACTACTTCGACGAGGAGATGACGCAGCAGGCTGAGCGTTGGATGAAGGAGAAACTGGGAGACACTGTACAGTTCCCAATTTGTAAAATTTAATTCGATTGTCATAATATTTATCAAAATGATTTCAAAAGCACATCCAATGTAATATGAGAAAATCGAAAATTACTTTTTACGAAATATTGTTTCAAATGTATCTAGTCTAAGTAAGATGTTAATTATATGTACATTATGTTATATTAAACTTGAACAATTTTTAAATTAATCTACCAATTACCTACTGCTCGTATCAGATTAGCGTCCCCTGGTGTCAATAGTTTCTAGATTGCTTTAATTACACGTAAAGCTGTCTTCTAATGAGTTTACTAAAAGATGATTTTAAGTGCCTTCCGAAGTGTTCCAAAAATTATAAGATTTGTTTTGGGATTCTTTTTAATTTTTATATGTTTATCTTTTTAAATACATATTATGAAGTAATTCATGTGTTTCATAAATTTATTGTACTTTTTTATATAAAATATATAGGCGTTTCTTATATGCCTAATTGTCATTATTGAGTTTTTCCTTAGTTTGATCATACTTGCGGTTAAAAACATGAAAGCATTATTAAAGTAAGTTTGTTTATGAAAGATTTTTTATTTTCTAAAATTGTATTAGAAACACGTTTAATTACAACAATTACCAGAGGAAGATTTTGTACAAAGTTATACCATGGTACTGCTCATGTCTATAGGCGACGGTTACTACTTTCCATTTTTTATTAATGGATGATAATGAAGTGGTAACCCCGTCTGCGCTAACGGTATACGCTGGCGGGGTACCAGTGAGGGATGATAGGTGAAGATGAAAAGGTAAGTCAGTTAGCCCATCGTGATGAATATACCTGGAATTCAGCACGATGGTTTCCAGGGGGGACCACGTGGAGGTCGACCTGACAAGGCATATTGCTAGCAATGGGACTGATAGTCCGCATTACTAACAATCCCTTCCCCCCACTACTTTCCATTAGGTGGACCGTCAGGTTGTTACCCATTCTAAGTTGGATAAAAAAAAGAAAAAAATGTTTTATTTATCCTGTAATATATACCCACTAGCTTTTATTTGACACTTTGTCCGCGTGACCGGGATATGTTTACTAACCGGGATAAAAAGTAATCTATATCCTTCTCCGTCCCATATAGTATATTTATACCAAATGTCATAGTGATTGGTTAAGCCATCAAGACGCTAAAAGGTAATAAATACATTTATACAATATTTGTAAGGATTATTCCACTATCGACTTTGTTTCAGTGACAGTTAATAAACACAACCAGATCAATAGAAAAATACTTAAGAATATAAATGTTTGTATTGTGTGAGCATCGAATGTACAACCTATGGAACCGCTATACCACGAAGGCAAAAGTTAGCGAACAAGTTATTTGTAAATGCACTTCATTATCACTGTATATTATTATTATTTCGCCGTGTGGTCCCGGCATAGACTGGCCTATTCTATGCCCCTTCCTTTCCCGTGGTTATCGTAAAAGTCTACTAAGGAATGGACAGCAGCGTCCCTCTTAAAACATTTCTAAAGCCTGACTGTGGTTGCCAATCCGCCTGCCAAGCGTAGCAATTACTGGCAAAACTCCTCAAGGCGGGGCTTATGCCCACTCATACTCATACTCATACTCAGCAGTGGACGGTTAAGGGCTAATAACGATGATTATTATTAGCAATAAGACGAATAAATAATTATTAAAATAACCTATCTGATTTCTAATATAATCTATACACACTTACGTACTTATTTTCCATATCTATATATTTTCAAATGAATTAAAAAAAAGTGAACGTTCTCAATTCGGTTGTATTTTTAGGTTATTTCTTACCGCATACTACGTCATTTATAAACCGATTTGGAAAATTTTATTTTTACCTGAAAGGTCATGCTTTCAGATTAGTCCCATAAAATTTTATCGAAATCAGTATAGTAGTTTAATTATTATATCGAAATAACTGGTATTGCCATGATCTTAAATTGTACTAGTTGTATTCGCGATTCTGTGCGCGTCAAGAAGCCAAAGGTCAGTCAGCCACGTCTTTCTCCACATCAACTGCTGCGTGTATGTCAAATTTCATGACAGTTGTTGGATTCGTTAAGGCGCCAAACGGTAAGAACTAAACTCACTTTCACATATAAATATTAGCATAACAATACGAATACTGGGTATTTAATTCTTTTGTTGTAAACAAAGATAGTAATAAAACGAATGAATAAATAATTATATGTGGGATAATTATTTATTCTCTTCTTATAGTTAGGTATATATATATATATATATATATATATATATATATATATATATATATATATATATATATATATATATATATATATATATATATATATATATATATATATATATATATATATATATATATATATATCTTCATCCACGTAAGTGGGAAGTGTAGAAATACTCAATATTTATCCCATACACTACGAATGTGCTAAATTTCATTACGATTGGTTGAGTTATTGTTAATGTGTTCAAGAAGCTTTCTTTTATTAAAGCTAGCTAGCTAGGTAAAATAATGGTTTGCTAATATCTCAGTTCATTATTAGAACATGTATTGAAATCAAATTTTATTTCTACCTAGACTTAGTACGACATGCTACCTATACAATATGGACTATAATAAAGTAAACAAATATTGCAAGTTGTAAGAACCTGTTATAAAGCATCTTTCTATATAAAGTGATTAGTTCATCATTGAGATGTATATGTAACGAGATTGATACTGCGATGAGTTACTTTAAATATTAGAAAAATGTAAAAAATCTGATGTTCTACTTGTGATAAGAAGTGTAAAATAATATCTAATTGGAAAATATTTATAATTTAATCTTATAAAGTAAATAAATTAGAAAATAATAAGTTACAATGGCGAGATTATTTAGGCAATAAATTAGCTTAAGTATAAAAAGAATATAGAGGTCACTAGATTACGATGAAACAGGAACCACTTCTGGCTGTATCGCAGGCTCGTCCGGTCTGTTGTCCGTTTGTATCGGTTCCAATTTGGATATTGCTTGTTGTTTGTCACGACAGGTCAAGGTTACAGGGTCCCTTTCTCTGTCCGGCCCACATTGCTCAGTAGCACCCAATAATTTGAGTTCGTCATCTTGTGCCTCGTTGCTAATGTTATTTCGGCGGCCAGCAATCACAACTTCCACTGCGCGCCCGTCGCCTTCAGCGGACCTGTCACTTGCGGTTCCGATTTCGACATGGTATGGCGTGTTTGGCTCCACGAACGCTTCCATGATATGAATATCAGCTCGTTCCTGCATCTGGTGGTCGTGATTGGGCTTCGAATTTTTCAAGTACCCAAGTAGACCGCTCGACATCGGCGTTTTTTCAGGTAGAGCGATTAGGAACAAAACGTTTTGCACGTCGGCGCGTACGTTAAAGTCGCCATCTTGACGCTGGTCGTAGGTCGCGGGTGCAGCGACGGCGGCGGCGAGTACGCCGGTCAGTAATAAAGGATGCAGCATGGTGCGTGCGACTGTGGAAACTCCTGTACGCTGACTGCGCTCTCCATACTCCGACGTCGCTTTTACCAAGCACTCGTGAACCAGTCCACCGCGCGGCCTGTCTGCGAAACGGGCACGCGGTAACGGTTTACACGACACGAACGCGGGTCAGGTACACGCTCAATAACACTTATCGTTTTTTAATCGTTCAAAACATATATTGGAAAAAAAAAAACATATAAATGTAGGTTATTTGACTGTTGAGTCTTTTTAATTTTTTCCTTGCTTTTGAATGACCCGTTTCTAAGGTATGCAATTATAAAAAGTTGCAATAAGAATATTTTGCATTTACTAATTAATTATTTTTAATAATATATCGAAATTTCTTAATAAAATGCAGAAGTGAATAAATACATTTGTTATTGACACTGACTTCGTATAACCCTGATATTGACCGTCCGATTTATAAACGAAGTAGCCCTGTATACTTATTCAAGTACGTGTACAACAAATTCTACGACATTTGATTGAGTCATCAAGGCGTCAAGACTACAAGAAAAATGTATAATGTGAGAGTTCGACAATTATGAACCGATTTTAATAATTCCTTTTGCATTCAACAGTGCTTACTCCCTTGATGGTAACATACAAATTTTATCACCATTGAAATCTTTGAAGAATTGTGGTACAAAATTCTAAAATACGATTCGTTTCCGTATCGCATCTGATCATGGAGCCATTCCATCAATGTGTCAAACAACGGCCGGGCTTTGTGACAGTGACCGACAGGTCATCCCGATAACCGAGTTCCACGCGCACCACACATCCGATTATGCATCTAAATATAACCTTAGAGCTGATATCTGTTTTACAATTGATACCTACACTCATCTGGAATTTTCACACTAGGAAATGTATATCTAGATATTTTCTACCTATTCTCGTAATTTCTATTTTTTTTTTATAGGTAAAAATGCAATGGTATCCCCGCCTGCGGTAACAGTATACACTGGCGAGGCACCAGTGAAGGGTAATCGATTAAAATGGAAACAGGCCAGTTAGCCCATCATGATGAATTAATCAGGAATTAACCATGATAGTTTCCAACGGGAACCGCGTGGAGGTCGACATGGTTAGGTATATTGCTAGCAATGGAATTCTTAGTCTCCAGTACTAACAATCTCTTTCCCCCATAATTTCTATTAGGTATCTATAAATAACTCATTTTTTAAATTATTTCTATATATATATATATATATATATATATATATATATATATATATATATATATATATATATATATATATATATATATATATAAATGTGGTATATATATATATATCTTATATTTTGTTTAATATAATAATAATAAAACAAACTTCTAAAAATCGATTTATTTATACTCTGTATTTATTCACATTTTGTTTATTTATTGCCATTTTTTCTCATTTTATAATCGATATATTATATAAAATGAAATAATAAAAAAAAAAATAAAACTAAACAAAATAAAGAAAAGAACATTAATGTAAAACATTTAAGGTTCTATAAGGTACTTATTTATTTATTTTGTTTAAATGAATGGATGAAAGAATGAATTTTTATTTACTATATATTGGTGATTACTGATGTATATACGATAACATAAGTATGTACATATATTTAACAATTACTAAAATAATACAGTCATAATATTAACATATCACCAAAAGGACAGTTTGTACAAAAGTTGTTTGCTTGGGCAACTCTGTCCCATTCGTGTTTCAACCGTAAAGCAGCTGTGTTTGTATGGTGTTTCGGTTTGAAAAGTGGGATATGGCGTGCATCTACTGGGTACGGAGGAATAACACCTGGGTCCTCAGGAATGGCAATGCTTGGGGGGTATCATGGGTGAAACTGTATACTCTGTTATATCCATAGTACTGCTCATGTCTATAGGCGACGGTTACACCACTTTCCATCAGGTGGGCCGTCAGCTTGTTTGCCATTCTAAGTTGTATAAAAAAAAAAGTAAGTACTATTCTTTATCTTTGAGAATAGTACATAGCCTCGATACAACATACAAATATCTCACAATTCATTCAGTTTTATATTCAACAAAAACCAATATAAATGAAATTTTAAAGTTAGAGCATTAAATATGTCTTCTGCAGACAAGTAAGTACTATTCTTTATCTATGAGAATAGTATATATGAGTCAACAAAAACTAATATAAATGTTTTAAACAACTTAAGGAAATATAGTTATTTGTAAACAACTTAAGCATATAGTATTCATAATTTCGTAATAAAGATTATGTAATTATAAATTTAATGTATTATATTAATTATATTATGACATTAATATGCATGTAATCTATAGTCAATGTTGTGTACACCTACTATAGGTATTTATGCAGCATGCTACACAAAAAATGTTATTTCATTTATGTATAATATCTATACTGTTGGTGTGCCTAATTCGGAATAAATAAAATAAAAAAAAAAAATAGTAGACCCCAGCACCAGTATGGGGTTTATATTGTCAATGAGGTCGCTAGACCCCAGCTCCTTACTACTACTAGCAATCCCTTCCTTCCTTGCATGGAGGGGATTTCAGGGAAGGGAATGGGAATTAAATCGGATCGTTCTCCATGACACCGGACGTGACGTACTCCGAAAATATTCGACCAATTTAAATGAAATTTTTCATGGTGGTACCTTACGCACTACCTTAATCACGGAAAATTAAAGAATTTTCGTAGAATAGTTAAAAGCTATAATAATTCGTACAGCTTAGTACACAATCTACTTAAGTAAAGTTACTTTGACCTAAGGCAAAGAATGAGAACGGTACGTCATTTGTTAATTTGATCCAGTATTAAATAGGTGGGTACATACATCGATACATACTAAACAGCGATATCAAATACCACGCGGACAATGTCGCGGGTATCAGCTAGTGCTTAATATAATAATAGTTATTTTCTTTATATATGTTTTGTTAATAATATAAATACCACATTTATCGAATTGGCTACCAGTTTGTAAAAATACTGATAAATGTATAAAAACAGGTACTAATTGAGAACAGTAAGACGGTCATCTAGAAAAATAGATATGAAACAGGAAAAACGTCGCACTGGAAAGTAGATAAACGTGAACAAACTGGCCTTGCTAAAAAGTTCTCGTGACACACTTATGGGACGCCTCGGGTTACCTCAGATAAATATTAATGGCTCTCTATCTATTAGAAAGGAAAGTAGACTCATTTGTCACAAAACGTACAACAAATAAAGAGTTTTAATGTAGATACTCTGACGACCTCGGTAGTGGTCGGTAGCCACATTGCTTTTTATAAATGAGGTCCCCTATTCGATTCTCGGCCGAGTCAATTTAGTAAATGAATTTATCTACATTAGTTGTTGGTGTTTAGAGTTGTGCTCCTAAGATGTTCAATTTATAATAAGACAAGGTATTCTGATATAAAGTCTTTTTCGACAGGCTAGTGACCGATAACATGCGAATTAATGCCTCGTCTGAAATAGATAATAGATACTCGAAGCCATAAATTAAAGTAGGAAAGCAGAAAGAAAGGTTTAACCGGCACAAAAATATTACAATACTACGTAATTGTGTACTCAACTATGTTGTTTCATTTGAGATTTCGACAAGAATATAATTGGTAGGTCGTACACGGTTTCGTCAGTAAACAGTAGATCTTGGGTCTAGTCAAATCGGCCATCCCTGATTTAGATAATATATTACTATTTTATGTTATTAACATTGTTTTTGTTTTTCTACTTATTTGCTCATCACCGTCAAGTATATTTTCTGTTATTCCTGTCTACTGTCGACTGGTAGATAACGTCATATAGTGTCAAGTCCGTCTTTTACACTATCTAGATATATGAAAGTTTAAAAGTAAATGCATATTATATATACTTCCCTCTTTGTAAATAAATAATAAATTTAACATAAATACTGTCATTCCATAAATATGTGTATATGATGCAAAAATATCTCTGTCTATATAATTGTTTTAATTCTATTTCACCCAGTGTTAAGCTTATGCCTATTATTGCTTTATCTATAAAGGAATATTACTTCCCTTCAGTAATATTTCGTATTTAATGCAATATTATATGTTTTTTTTTTAAGATTATACATTAATTAAAACAACGTTATAGGGATTTTTCAATAAGAATCATATAATTTATTTTCAACAAAACAATCGCTTCACAATCTTACATTATAAACTTATATTAAATAAATGCATTCAATATCACTCGTGGTCACATCGTAACACTTTCTTACTAAATCTAAAATAAATATTTCACTAATACAGTACTTTTCGAGTTAAGATTAATTAATAAACATTAAAAAAATCTATAAATTTATACTATAGAAGCACGTATATACTTATTATTAAAAAAAAAAAAAAAAAGTAATTTCACTCCTGTTTCACAGAATAAATAGTATCATTAGAATGTTCGTATCTTTCAATATTTAGTCAACTAATGATGGCGATTTTTCCTGAGCAGCGGCAACAGAATATGAGCGAGTCTAGCCTTCAGCCTGTAAACAAAAAATGACATACGTTAGTATCACACAGTTATTTATAATATGATATCCAATTTTATCGAGACCAAACTGTGCACGACGCACCTTTTTAGTTTCTTTTTTAATTTTATTAAAAAGATGTTCTTTTTATAATTTGAAGTCTGTGTCAGTTTTTCAGTTTTGTTTTCGTTCGCTTTTTTACTCCGTTGGTTTGCTATGTATATTTTTTATATAATTATATTATCTTTCTAAACACCGTGTTTCCATACCAGCATACAGTCCTTTCGCCCACACAAACAAAGAACGCTGTCTTAACACTATCCAGGACTCTTACAACCTGAATCACTTTTCAACATTCCGCATCCGACTCGATTAAAAATCGAACTCAGACCTTCATTTGTAGCTTGTCAAATAATTAGATAGTACAATAATTAATTAACGAACAGTATAAAAATGAAAACACTCAAATAATAAAAAAACATAATTTATCAAACACGTTAATAATAATTTCTATTAAGAAAAATGTATTGAAATCGATCCATTCGTTTGAAACCTACGATGCCATAAATATACTCAAAGACAAATTTTAACTATAAATATCCCTATCTCTTTTAAAAAAATGATGTTAAACTTTTAAACGATTCGATCTCATTATTATTATTTTGTACCAAATAAATAGATTAATTTTAGTACGTAATCAATACAATAAATATTTACCTTTGTGTTTTTTCATGTTTCTTAGTCAGAGCATCTTTTTTTGACGGCTTCAAATCTGCATTCAAGCTGACATCACTGAGTGGCGTCTCTGCTGGCTTTTCAGGACTTTCTGGTTTCGATTCTTGGGGCTTTGTGTTCTCCGGTTTCTCAGGAATACTGATAGGGTTAGACGGAGGCTTCGGCTTCTCCAATTCATTCATCTCGTATAAATCCAGAAGGTCGCTGATGTCGATATCGGTAGCCGCTTCTAGGAGCGACTGCGCCGGCGCAACAGCGATCACGACGCCATCAATATTGAGTCGGTAGTTCTCGGTGCCATTTTGCCGCTGATCGTAGTGTTTGTCCGCGCATTCGGGCGTGGGGGCACCGGTGGTCACCGTCAACAACGCCGCCACAACAGCCACTTCGCATACTACACGCTTGTAATTGACCATCGCGGGAGGTGTCCAGAGGCGCACTGAACCGCGATCTCGCAGGTGGAGTCCGCTATGTACGTGATCTCCGTTGCATCTTTTATTTATTCGCGGGGATAGCGGTACAGCCGCCGCAGTACTGCCTTACCACACCAGTCGGCCCTGCTAAACTGGAATTAACAAACTCAATGTGCAGTAAATACAGCTATCTTTAACGTTTGAACGTAGGTCTCATAAGTTTGCTTGTTGTCTTGTAACTATAACATTCTATTGAAAGCTTTATCTATTTTTAAGAGATTTCTAAAAGAGATTCTAGTTATTTTAGATTTTTTTAAATATATGTTTGAATAATTTAAGCCGATTTTGTTGATTCTTTTTATTTTCTATAGAAATCTAATCCTATAGAATTAACTACCTGATAAGTTGATAATTTTACAATGATTGAATTAGATTTTTTTAAAACGAAATTTGATTTTAATAATTTATATTATTATTAAATTAGATTCTAAAATTAAAAGTGTAACTGATAGAAAAATAAATATTACTACATTTTGACAAATTCTGAATTAATTCTATTATTTTTAACTAATAACAAATAATGTATTATAACAACATAATCTACATCAAATTAAATATCTATCTCACTCTATTCATCTTGTACTTACAAGATCGATAAGAACAATTGTACAATTCATGGCAGGTATCTAAATTATTATTTCTTAATTTTCAATTTCTGAATTGGCCTGCGGAACATTTCAACGATCACCTATATGAACAAATACATAAACACCATAATAATGAACTTCACATAATATATTGTATGTAGTGTATGTACCTTAGTAATTACATACGTTTCCAAGATTATACACCTTGACATCTTTAATGTTTTGGTACTTCTAAGAAATCGGCTATATATATTCTGCACAACGAAATTCAATAACATTCGAATAAAAAAATACCTTTCGCTGTACGTGATAGAAACGCATTGTGTCATTAAATGTGTGGTCAAAATAGGTAAGATGGTGGGCAAAATACCAAGTAAACAAAACTCTACCATTTAGTAATGGAAAATCTGTAGATACAAAAATACTTTCAACACAGTTTTTACAACTTTATAACTTTGTTTACCTTTATTTATACATGTATTGGTTATAGGCGTTAGATGGGGACTAGACACCCGAAGGACTGCCAAGTGATATGAATGAAAGGTTCTTTTTTAATGAGTGAGAATGAAATTATAACCACGCCTGCACTATCGGTGTACGCTGGCGGAGCACCAGTGAGATATGATAGGTGAGGATGAAAGCAGGTCCGTTGGCACATCGTGACGAATTTTATAAGAATTAACCATGATGGTTTTGGAGGGAAAGGGATTGTTAGTATATAGACTAAAAATCCTATTGCTAGGAATATACCCAACCAGGTCGACCTCCTCGTAGTTCCCCCTGGAAACTATCATGGTTAATTCCTGATGAATTCATCATGATGGACTAACTGGCCTGTTTTCATTCTCATCGATCACCCTTCACTGGTGCTCCGCCAGCGTATCCCGTTAGCACAGGCGGGGTTACCATTCCATTTTCATCCACCAAGAAAAAACCATGATGGTTTTTAGAGGGAATCGCAAGAAGGTCGACCTGATAGAGTTTATTGCTAGCAATGAAACTGTTATACCCCATTACTAACAACACCTTTTCCTCTGACTGAAAGGTTCTCGAGTGGTGAATCCAGAAAGGTAAAAGTGTAGACTGGCCTCCTAATAGATGGAAGGGAGGGGGGGGGGGAGTGGATTATTAATAATGGGGAGTAATAACCCCATCGTTAGCAATAAAGTAGTAACAATAGTCAGATCGACCTCCCCGTAGTCCTCTCTAAAAACCACCGTGTTGAATTGCAGGTGTAATCATCGCGTTGGGTTAGTTGACCTGCCTTTTCATTCTCAATTTCATCCCTCACTGGTGCCCCACCAGCGTATACCGTTAGCACAGGCGGGCTTACTATTCCATTATCATCCATTAAAAAAAGATGGAGGAACGACCTCAAAGACTCAGTCATTGGTTGCGCATTTAATGGTGTTGACAATAATATGACAGCCTTATTTTCACCAGTAATTTATTTATTTATTTAATATATTGTAATTGAGTATGTAAGTACGACATGACGATTTTTTAAGAGCATAATAGAAGAAAAGATAGAGGGCAAAAGAGGAAGAGGAAGACCGAGGATTAACTACATGGGACAGATAAAGGAAACACTAGCCGTCAAGTCGTATAGGGAGGTCAAGGACATGGCCTGGGATAGAACTGGCTGGAGGAAGATGCATGAATTAGTTGCACCGACAAGAAGAAACTCTTAAATGAAAAGAAGAATTAAGTAAGATTGAAATGATAATTATTATTTGTACAATTATACTATTTTTTTTATTATAATATTTATTTATATTATAGCATGTGTGTAAATATCTAATTTATTTTCAATTCTTTTCACCGCGAAATTAGATTTTTGTTTTACTAAAGTTTGACTGAAAGAGAATACTAATAGCATTAAAGTCGCATTTCGTGCCATAAATTTTTGTAAATGTGGTTAAAAAAAAAAGAATAAATAAATAAATTTAGAGGCCACGGTCACGGTTACTGTTTAATTGGATATGCAAATAAATCTGAGACGAGTTATAACAGAATATTAAATCTAAATATATTCGCCAATTTAAAGTAGAAAGGTGTTCCGAATTGAAACGTTCCACTTCACGTGTATAAATATTTTGATACAAAACTATGAGTAGTGTATAGTAATTATCTAGTTGTATGAGAAATAGTTAATTATTGACGCGACAAAAGTCCGCGACGCGCTGCAAATCACGGTCAAAGCAACCTGTTACTGCACTCAGCTTTCGACTAACTGTACCACCCACTTGGGCCGGTAAACGGTAAAATGATCACATTTTATTTGCCCTTACCACCGGGTTACGAGCCTGTTGAGCTATAAATGATTATATCTAACTGCTAGGGTTGCACTAGATCTCCTTTTTATATTACATATATCAAACTAGGCGTTTTAGAGTTCTGTAGTGATGAAAAGCGAACCCTTATATTCGTTTTTTATTGGTAGAAAATGGAATAGTAACCCCGCCTGCGCTAACGGGATACGCTGGCGGGGCACCAGTGAAGAGTGATCGATGAGAATGAAAACAGGCCAGTTAGCCCATCATGGTGAATTCATCAGGAATTAATCATGATAGTTTCTTGGGGGAATCACGAAGAGGTCGACCTGGTTGGGTATATTGCTAGCAATGGGACTCTCAATCTCCATTACTAACAATCCCTTTCCCCCCGAACCCTTATATTTTGATGTCACCATTTTGTCTGGTTATGTATCTGATATAGATACAGACAGCATGATGTAAAAAAAAATTAAGAAACGTGAGTCTTAAGATGTTCTCAAGAGTTTAAACATTCGGACAACACTATTTTTCGTTATCGTCAATTAAAGTGGCATACATATCTGTCACGATCGTCTCCTATTAGGGTAGGTAGAAGAAAAATGGAAGGCCAAATACTTCAACTCAAACAGACATCTTTCGTTTCCTCCACATTCATCAATATTTTTATACACGCTTGCTTACTTTATTACGGGTACGGTACGGGTACGGCTTGCTTTGTTACGGGTACTTTTAATTTTGCTCTTCCTCGGCACATCGTCTGTTTGGTCGACATACGTCCGTCAAGGACTAATTAAAATCATGACCTATGTGTAATCAAGATTCCTTCAGTGGGTGATATAATAAATTAAAATACTTAGTAAAAAATTCTCTAAGAACTGGAAAGGCATATTTGGTATTTACACAGTTACAAATACCTAGTAAAAAGATAATTTTTAAATATCATCAAATACTAAAATTCACAGTCGCTACATTGTAATCTAGATTTAAAATTATTTACAACCAAATTATTTCCAATGAACAATACAATAAAGAAAGATAAAAGAAATTAAACTGATAATAAAATTTCGTTATGGAATCCCCGTAGCGATATATCCAACATGTTCTTAACAAGTTACCAATTAAAATGGCCCGTGTTATCGAATCGATGTTTAATTCAATTAAAGCAGTAAATATAAACAGTATATTAAAGGCATAAATCTGTAATGTTTTGCTAAGGAGACTTTCAAGACGAGTAAAACAGGAAGTCCGTAGCAACGAGTCCGTGTGGACACAGCTGCAGTGTCCACTCACCTTTCTAAAGGCTATATCGTGAGACCTGCCAATCCGCTGCGCTGGCCTAATTCGATACATGTTCAACAGCAATCTGGTAAATAAAAGCGAGGCAGTTGGCGACCCAGTGGCGTTCACGATTTATTATAATTTGAATAATGTATCAATGGCCTTTAAATTATGATCGCAACTTTGTACAGAAAACTGTATTTTTTTTAAAAGTATACGTGACACTGAACAAACAACATGAACATAGGTCGTACCTAAACAGAAAATATTGGGAGAAAGGGATTGTTAGTAATGCGGATGACTATTCCCATTGCTAGCAATATACCCTGTCAGTTCGACCTCCACGTTGTTCCCCCTGGAAACCATCGTGCTAAATTCTAGATGTATTTATCACGCTAACTGACCTGTTTTTACTCTCTTACCTATCATCCCTCACTGGTGCCCGCCAGCGTATACCGATAGCGTAGGGGATAGCGCGATCATTCCATTATCATCCATAAAAAAAAAAACAGAATTTTTTTTATTTTTCATATATTTTTATAATAGGTAATTTAGAAGTACATTCTTTACGTGATAGAATCTAAAATGAGGATAACCGCAAAAGAACCAAAGTGACCGATATAGCCCGAAAGATAATCAAGCTGTAGTAGCAATTGACTGGTCACAAAGCTCGAAGAAATTACAACCGATGGGGAAAAAAACATCTTGAGTGGCGATCCCGCACAGTCAAACGCACTGTGGGATGACCCCGTACGGGCAAACGCAGTGTAGAACGACCGTCACTAGATGGAGTAACGACCTTAAGATTTTTGCATAGAGTCAGTGGATGAAGGTGGCTCAGAGCCGTTCTTTATAACAGTGTATGAGGGAGCCCTATGCTCAGCAGTGGATGAATAATGGCCGAGATGATGATGACGCGGTCTCGTCATTTATAAAGGGTCTCGCCGTGTTTTCATATGAAATCTGCACTGGCGTCTTTGTTGACATTGGTGCTTTTAATATATTGCTAGTTATTGTAAAAAATTAGGACTAAGATAATTTTCTTCATTCGTTTGTGGAAAATGGGGGTTAAAACCCCAAACTTTATTTTTCTACGAAAATATGTTAGATATTTGAATATACAAAATTCGTTTGCTTGGGCACCTCTATCCCATTCTTGTTTCCCATTCATATTCTGTAGGATATGACAGTGAATTTAATATATTACATAGAGGTGCTAATTGAAAATCAGCGTTTCTGCTTCTGCAAGAACTTATAATCCAAGGTTAGGAAATAATATATCAAAGATATCATATAATATATTTTTATTTATTGTCATTTTGAAACAATATTAATTTTAAATATATGCAAAAATTACAGGTCTTTATTAAAATAGATATAGAAAACAAAATATCGGAAATTCAGTTTACAAATGTATTTTATAATAATATGATGACAAATAGCTATTGGCCGAGTTTTATCACAGTTTATAGAATATTTTTTACCAGTAGTCCAACTGACACAACATTAAGTCACAAATTGTCAACTATTGAATCGTTCTGACAATTCTAAAAGCTTTGGACTACTCTGGCGTCTCACTACGTACTATTAATATAATTTGTTAAGATTTTAAAATATACTATATAATTGAAATGTGATTATATTTAATCTTTTTAATTACATTAGGTATTTAGAAATAAAATATAAATTGCATTGTAAGATACAAATCCAGTCGTGTTTTGTTCAAAATAAACCTTTTTGACTCAGATGAGATGTGTATAAAATGGTAGCACTGGTTGTTCATTGCACTGTGGTTATAGTATACATTTATTTACTGCATGCGTGTGGCTTGTTCCAAAACAACGTGAAATTAAACTTTTGGGTAAAAAGAAATAATCAAAATTGATTCAAAATTAGCAAAGATAAACACCACCAAGATAAATATCCACCTTCTTTTCGAGAGGCTAAAAAAATGTTCTATACGCAAACAGGTACTATGAAATATCTAATAAAACAGCAATGTGGCAATCATACGATATTGCACCGTAAAAAAAAAGCTAAACAATTGATGTTATGTGATTATGATAATTAAGAAGGCGCCAATAGAATTGATGTTATATCGACTTAAAAGTCAATACTAAATTATTGACTTTTGATTTAACAGGTAATTATATTCTTCAATATCATCACTGTAAAAGAACCATAAACAAAATAATCATTGTTTTAAAACCAGTTCTACAGTTATAACAAAATTGTGCACAGTGTACTACAAAATAAAATAAAAAACAGACCATAGATGCTACTTAGTAACGACAACAGTTAAAAAAAAAATGGACAAACCTTTTATGACAACATGAAAATATATCAAATAACTAACTTATTATCAGTTAATTATATAAACGCTTTACAAAATAATATTTTCAAATTTTACTTACTTAAGACCTAGTTTATATTAGATACTAAAATACTCAAAGTATTTTAATAACAATTGTGTGCGAGAGGATCGCATATAAAATCATTATGAAGCTAGTAGCAGCTACTTATTATGTGAAAGTTACCGTTTACACGCTACAACTCAAACACTCATATGCAAGTAACTTAATAGTATAAAGCAGGTTTAATATCAATAAAATACTTATATCTATATAAAAATAAACGTCAGAGAAATCACACTAAGTTGCTAGCACAGCAACAAATATGATTTATTCATTTTATATCGATGTGAAAATTAGGATGTTACAACAGTTGCAAATAGAAAAAAAATAAACTTCATCTGTCTTTCTTTAAAAATTCAAATGTGTAATGCAACTGAATTAGGTACAGATCCGACATTGTTAGTAGTAATAGACTGACATACACACAAAATATTTTATTAATCTATATATTAATTAACGAAACCCATTCATTAAAACTGGTGTTTATTATTATTATTTCAGCCGTTAACTGTCCACTGCTGGACATAAGTCTTCCCCATTAGGGGTGTCTTGCCAGTAGTTAGCACGCTTGACAGGCGGGTTGGCAACCGCAGTTAGGCTTTTAGAGATGTTTAAAGAGGGACGTTACTGCCCATCCCTTGCCCTCCCTTAGTCGCCTCTTACGACATCCGCCCTCTTACGAGTGTTTATTATTCATTAATAGGATCTTAGAAAAATATTTATTCTTAGAATCTCTAATTCCTAGAAATAAAATCCTTATAATTAAAAATGTAATTTAAAATTATAAAAAAAAACAGTATCTGTATCAATAACTACATAATATAATAACTACATATATACCTTGAACTTGTAACGTTAATGTAGGTAGAGGTGATTTCGTTTTTTTTTCAAGAAATGTAAATTAGACTCCATTTTCCGCGCTTAGCCTCTAATTTGGTCCATTGTGCGTATGAGTCATGACTATTACAGTCAATCCAACTCCGCCCAGAAGCACAGAAGCTTCCTGGGATCTTCACAGGCCTCACGGAGCGGCCGTTCCGGGGATTTCTAAACGTTGAGGGACCATAGCTTCATATTCCAGGCTTACGTGAACAGCCGTTTCTTCGGCGTCAAAACAGCCTCGACATAGAGGGCTGTCTGTGGCTTTTTTTTCAAGAATTAAAATAACACTAGTTTTAAGAAATGGGTTTCGTTAATTAACATACTGTATAATCGAAAGATGCTTCGTAGGAAGACAAATTTGTGCTAAATGCATTTATCAATGTTATTAAAACGTTAACGATTTCAAATAACTCTGTGCTAAATAATTGAGAACACGTTCTTCATTTTATCAACCAATAAAAAAAAAGTTAACAACCAAAATAAAAACATTATTTTTATTAACACAAAATAAAATTCTTTGAGGCACTTCGGAAGACGTAATATCAAATAAGGCACTATATAATTCTTCTATCTTCTAAAAGTTCTTAAAAGTACATCAAATAGAATAATATCTCTGTAAATTCCAATAGTAAGAAATAACACACTTTAATACTAAGTTATTTTGAAACATTTGTACATTACAATTTCTATATAATGATAACTTAATATCATTGCTTTCTTTTAATACTGTTGGTGCTAGAATAGATAGAAAGTATAAGAGAAATTCATCCTTACAGGACATAATCTTCAATTTGTTAATTTATTTAAAACTAAATTTGTCAGCATGGTCATTTATAAGTAAATATGCAACACTTGTTATTGAATCAATCATGCATAGACATGTAATGCTGATTGCCCTTTTTTCGAACTGTATTTAGTTTTATCCACAAAAACTCCTTTCAGCATATTTATACAGATTATTTATCTGTATACTGATTTGCAATGACTGTCAACAAATGATGATAGAAACCATCATCATGTTTCAACCTGTAGAGGGCGGCGTGAAGGTAACGTTGGACAAAAGTGGCGCATGCGCCTGTGCTCCCGCTGCTGGCTGCCTCCGAACAAAAATCACGGGACGCGGCACACAGGGAGACTGCTTGCCGCCAAATTCGTGTGCTTACTGGCGATGAGAAATAAGCAGCATAAAAAATACATAGATAGTGGTAGAGAAAATAGTGAAAAGAGGTGACGCGGGTGCCAAGACGTCTATGGTGCTATTCTTGTCTATAGCCTCTACAGGAACAGTTAATAACGTTGCGCGAATGATTTTGTTTTTCGAATTATTAGTAATTATTGATTTTACAATTCGACTACTAAATTAATAATTTACTAATTTTCGTATTCGAATGATTTTTCTAATTAGTAATTCGATGTAAACCACTAATAATATAAAACAAAGTACTTTCCCTGTATCTACTACCTTAACAATAGGTGATAGTTTATTGACGATTAAAAAAAAATTTTTGTGGTCGACTACGTTCAATCGAAATGTAAATAGTCATTAATTATAAAAACAAAATACTTTACTACCTAATTAATTAGTAAGTATCGAAAGTTGCTAATTGTTACTAAATATACTAAATTGGCAACACTATTTACCATTAACAAAAAAGGACATTCCAGCAGTAAATGAAGTTAGTAGTCAAATTAATAAAATTATAAATAATAAAATTAATAGTCGAATGATTTTAAAATCATTTGAATAATTCGAACGAATTGTTCAGTCTAATAAATAGAAATCGTATTAGTAAATTCGCGCATCACTAACAATTAATAAAGAAGAGTGTATCCCACCTCCGTCACGCTGCCATTCGCCAGTAGAGACGTGTAGATTTACAGAATAATGAAAATACTAATTTACCTCAAGATTATTTTTTTGCTCAATTATTAAAAACTTACACTAATCAATGTAGTTTGCACAATATGAAGAGGGAGGTTTAGCTAATTTTAAGATATGTTCTGGACCTATATATATATATGACCCGGACATGTTACGCAAATAATTTATATATGAAAGGGTCTATAATATAAAAAAATAATTTTAAGATTAATTTTTATTTGCAATAGTCATTAAAAGAGGGAAAGGGATTGTTAGTAATGGAGACTGAGAATCCCATTGCTAGCAATATACTCAACCAAGTCGACCTCCTCGCGGTTCTCCCTGTAAACTATCATGGTTAATTCCTGATGAATTCATCATGATGGGCTAACTGGGCTGTTTTCATTCTCATCTATCACCCTTCATTGGTGCTCCGCCAGCGTATCCCGTTAGCGCAGGCAGGGTTACCATACTATTTTCACCCATCAAAAAAAAAATAGTCATTAAAAAAGCAGACCATATTCAATGGATAAAGTAGTTGAATAAAAATTCAATTCTTTATTCTCCCTGTCCTACTCTATCCCTGTAAAACTTATATGTACAATGCTTACAGAAATGTTGCATATCTGGGTCGCAGTGCTGCAACAACTGTTGCACGGAGCAGGCGCCGGCGAGTTGCGGTACGCTGCTACCGCTCACTAGCAGCGACTGCGGCGATGTCACGCGCGACACTACCGCTTCTATTTCAGCTGTCAGTGACTGTAATAAATATAAAATATTATGTTGTAGATTTTACATACTTATTATTACAAATAATATCTTAAAAAAAATTTTGAAGTACTATCACTATCCCTTGTCTAATATCTTAAAAGCTAAGCAAGCAATATAATTTATTTTTAAATAAATAAATAATAAATTTATTGTCATTCTTTACAAACATACAGATATTACAATATACATATATTTATTAATAAATACAAATAAGGGAACTGGAAAATGTAGTGTGATATAATCAGACCCATACATTATTTTCAATCATCTTTAAAGAGGAGATAGTTATCAAAACAATATAAATTTACTTCAACATGTTAATATTTTAATATATTTTTTATTGTGTGTCAAATCATTGACATTGTCATGCAAATGTTTTAATTACTGTATATAAAAAAGAATCACGATTAATTCTATATTTTGTGTTTAATGAAAATAAAACGCTTTAGTAACAATAGAATCCTATATCTAGGCAATAAGGTATATTTTAAAATAGACAATCTGACCACTAACCTGGTTGTCTAAGGAGCTGACTGAATTCTTCTTTAAATCTTCTTTTATGACATGTAGTTGGTAGTGAGTAGGAATATGCTGGAAACAGAATATTATTTGCTATTATGAAAAGGTTCTTTTGGCACTTTTCTTTCTTTAGGACCTATTTCTCTCTACTGGGGTTTCTCTCTAATGAATAAAATTAAAATAAATGGATAACTTTTACCAACAGTGTATAATAAGCATCCTGCTTATAAGAACAAAAAAAATAATAATAATAAATAAATTGGCTCAGCAAGCCATGTGGCTTCGAAATTTTTTTTTTTTTTCTATTATTAACATATTGGTACTGAAACTAGAACAATTACTATGTAATTTTAGAACTTAGTTAATTGTTTTATAGGTTTTATATCAAAATTATGTTTACATACTATAACAATTACAACTTACTACATAAATAAAATATTAATTTATGTTTGTATAAAATGTGTGATTAAAAAATTTTGAAAATAAAACTCAAAAGGAAAATCCTAAAGCAAAGCATCTATCACAGTACAAAAACTAGAATCGTATTACTTAAGAGAGAAGATTCTATTTGCGTAAAAAATAACTGTCCTTAATAATAAAAAATGCAAAAATATTTGTTTTTAAAATTTTTATGTGTTTAACACTTACATTAGTATCGGCAAGCATTAATATGCGATGTACGTGCGGTTGATCCGTAGTGTCTGGTGACAATCGATTTAAACAATCCGGATACATCTCAGCCAACACCACGGCATTCTCTCCACCGAGGATGTATTTGCTCTGTTCTAATACAGCCAACTCTTCTAATCTGTCATAGATATGGTTTGCTATTTTTGGCTTTACTTCTGCAATTAAGACAATTTATTTCCTATAGGTATTTATAATTAGACATTTATTAATTAAAAATTGTTATAGAATTTATGAAAATCAACAGCTTGGACTTTTTTGCCAATTACATAGTACCTAAATATTAGAATTACTCTGTGATTTTTTACCTTAATATATAAAAATGCTGTGCCACAGTGTTTGATCATTTTACTTGCACATTTCATTGCAGTACCTATTGTTTTACTAAATTTGTTATAAAATTTTAATTTATTATTAATATTACAGTATAAACAATGTGACAACAAATCTGAACAACCAGAGATCCAATATGTTTAACATATCTTAATGAATTATATGACAATTCTAGATAAATCATTATCTAGATGTGTCGGAACAACTGGTTAGATAATTGAATTCTTTAGACTGTGTTAATGTTATGAAATTATGGCTAATCTTAACAATTTTTTTTTTATAATGTAATACCAACCAGATTATCTTACATCTTAGACTCATGACTGAGGGCCCCATGTGGTCCTCAAACTAGTTTAACTGTATTGCTTAAAATGTAATGTAAGTTAATCTGGTCGTAATTTTAATGTACTGAACATTAAAATATAATGTGTACTTATGAAATTTTAACAATAAAATCTTCATTATTGTAATAAACTAACGAGTTTGTATAATTCTAATTTTCAAACTTACCTTTTCATACTTAAGTGGATGGCATGGAAATTATTTAAAATAAAAGTTAATAAAATTGAATATTTTGATGGAAAATATTCTTTTATAGAGATAAATGTTAATTTAAAGTTATTTAATTCTTATTTCACTTAGCTTCTTTGTCCACTTGTAAATTTTAAATCATCTTATAAATTGCAATTCATGTTTAGTTATAAAAATGTTACTCAATAATACATACATACATATATCGGGAGTGCCAGTTTTTCAAATGACAACTGTCTTTTACACTGAGAGTTATGAACCCTGACATATCAACTAGATACTTGTTTTTAATAAATACGTAAAGATAACAAAGTTCTAATATTATCATCAGTAATTCTGCAGTAGGAAATATTTCATCTTTCATCAATCAATTTACAGTTATATATCTAAGGAAATAATACACCAAAATGAACATATCAATGAATGAATGAATGAATGAATGGTTTATTTTCTCTTCACAAAAGGTAGAATAAAGTACAATTTGATATGAAGACCAATTTTGTGAGAGACTGGTGCTTGCGGTAGGTTTAGAAGAACCTGTGTTACAAGTCATCAATACTGTTTCAGTGTCGATGTTTTATAAAAAATTTGAAAATCTTGCCTTTAATGATTGAAAACTTATAAAGTCTATAAAAAATAATATCAAACTGTATATTTACTAAAATATTCAGCAGCAACATCGCAATCTGCATCCTCACACCATGCCAGAACCATCTGTAATGTCTGTAATATTGAACACTGGAGTTTCAAGAAGAAGGAACCCATTCGGATTGGTTGCTTCTTTCCACAACCCTGACATACCCACTGGACCCTAAAATTTAAATCATAAGTTCCCATAAAGAGTCTGATAGTTAAATATATCATACATTATTTTGCATAATTGACATTGTAAATTCAATTTTCAACATAAGTATAAATATGGTTTCAGTTTACATCATTATAATCTGTTTATTAATTATATTGTAAACTTAAAATTCTTGAAATTAATTGTGTTCTTAGTAACTGAGTTCAAAATTCTATACAATGCAATAAACAAAGTTTTACATTTGATATTTTTATATATTAAAGACACATACACTATCAATTATATTTGAAAATAGATTACATGATTTTACTTACTTGTCTATAACTCTGGCTGTTTTACATACAACTTTGCACTCTGGTAAAGCCGCAGGACACTGAACAGTTCTTGGAAGGAGACCAAAATTTTGCAATCTCTCTACTATTTGACTTTCTAAATGTTTCTCTCCATTATTACATGTGAACTCTTTATAAAGTTTGAAATTTCTAGAAGTAAATAAAGTTTAATTAATTTTAGTTTACCATACTAAAGGTGAATTAGGTGGATTTTACTCATTTTTAAATATTACTAGTACTTACCCTGGGCATACTGAAAACGGGAAGGAATCATCATCTTGTGCAGTCTTTGAGTTATTTTCGTATGTCGTAGAATCAGCTTCCATTGTTAACAAAAAATAATCCGTAACCTGAGAATGAATTCTATTTAGAAATGTTATTGAGCTATTCAAAAAATTCTAAGGGGGCCACATTTGGACCCGCATCTTCTACGCACCCCTATTCAATTTCTAAATCAATATGTAATGCAGTAAATTGGCAAGTATCTAATCATAAATAACAAAAAAAATCCGTATTATATTTATTTCAGTCAGTTAAAATTTCTGTAGACACAATTTCACACAAAAAATATATCTTTAATAACAATCCAAGCTTTTTACCTATATATCGTAAGTAATCATAAATAGGCATGTAATTTTTAAATTAAGATATATAACAATAACAGAAAATATACTGAATTTATAATTACAGTATTTATAAAAATGAGTTGCATAAAAAAAAATTGAAAAATTGCTATTTTGACAAAATTTATTTGATTTTAATTTGACACAGGCGCTATCCTTAGTCTATGACAATACGCACAGATAATGATATCTTTGTCATAACATAATAATTCATTGTGGAATCAATATCTGTGGTCGAATCCGAGTTGCCAAATTGGTAATACAATATAACAGACAAAGAACAAGAATTATATAAAGATCAAGTATTATTGTTATTTAAGAATCGGCACTGTCTATATATTCTTAAAACTGGAATATAAATCTAAGCAACATCTAAAAGTATGAACATACCGAGACCAATTCTGAAGTTCTATTTTTTTTTAATATTTTCACTTAATATTTTAATTTGATAATTCTACGAAACTACTCTTTTATAAATCCTCATAAATTAAATTTTAATAAGTTTTAATTATATTTAGTAAAACTTTAGTTTATATTGATTTTTAGAATAAATATTTATATATTTTGGTTTAGAGAAATGGTGTTTCAGAATTTATCCTATTGTTAGGGGTCGTCTATTAATCACGTGATGTTTTTTAGCATCTTCCCCCCCCCCCCCCTACTCTCCTGGTGATAGGTGATGAGATTTTAAACTACCCTTCCCCTTTACTCAAAATCATGTGTATTTTTTGGTACAAAATGTTTAAAAATTTTTAGAATATTATCTTTAAATACAGATATAATATAATTTAATTCTGGAAATTTAAGCACCGTAATAAAAATGTCCAAATAGACATTTAGGTTGCAGTTTATTTCTAACTGGCATAAAAATAATAAAGAAAATGTGTATTGATATGAAAGACTCACAATTAAATACTGGTACATGAATATATCCAATGAACATTGTCCTCAGACCACGGATAAGTAAGACTTTCTTCAACATTAACAAGTGGATAAGCGTCTAGCGAGTCAACTGTTGGTACTGTGCTTTGCTAAAGATCAACGTCGGTCTCATCAAGCGGCGTCTTCATTTTCGTGCACTACACAAAAATCTCTCTCGATTTACCGACGCCTTTTTGTTTAGAAATCGGGCGTTTAACAAAAAGATAAATACACATGATATCTCACTACACCCCACCTTCCAACCCCTGTGATACTTCGTAATTTTTTTATGAACCCCCTCCACCCCTTTTCGAGCCCCACATGATTAATGGACGACCTCTTAGCATCTTTTCTACCCGCGAAGCAATCATTTTTAGCAAAGAAACATGGCTAAAATGATAAAAAATTTTGAGCCTCATATACTAGCTCGTATTTTTAGTTTTACGTACCACTAATTATATCCTGTCAAATTCTATGAACTGGTTGCACAGATTTACACAAAAATGTTTCTATTTGTAGTGACTTAAGTTAAATGTTCGATTTGATTCAATTGTATGTTAATAGCTTGGTCTGTCTCTTTTGTGTACTTTTATTTGTAATTTTTTGATTTTATTTTTACAAATCCCTTTAGGATTTTTAATAAATTAAATTGTGTGTATCGTATAAAAGCAAATTAATTAAAGCAAGTCAGTTTCTAAATTATAACTAAATACATCCTAATTGGACGACGGATGCCCATTTGTTAGAGAGCAGGTTAGTACTTATTTAATGTTTTCTATTATTTCATATAGTTATACTCATTTTATGAATTATGCAAGCTTTAAAACAATTGTATATAACAAACTATTAATTTTTTAATTCATGTCCGTAAGATGCTGTTTAGTCTCATTTTTTTTTACTACATATTTCGAAATTTACGGTCAGGAGGATAAAAAATAAGTTCAAAATTGCATAAATCCAATGTAAAGTCAAATAGTAGGTCTAAAGTAGCCTATGATTAATTTCTTAAAAATCATGAAAATATCTATTCATTTTCTCACTTTACCAAAAACAAAATATTTCAGTAAGAATCCATTTTTTTTAAAACTTATTGAATTCTTCCAGTACATATGTGCTTTTATATACATTATAATAACATAGGATGATTTGATGGAAGGAAACAAAAATATTTGTCTTATAAAAGTGTATATTAGTGTAAGAGTGTGTGTGTACTTCGTCTAGTAAGGTAAGTTAGGTACCTTCGAATATAACAAAACTGATCTAGAACTTGAGATAATCACATGAATTAGGATATCACATGAAAAAAGATTAGAATTTCAAGGGGTTTCATTACACATGACTTACTTATATTTATTTATTTATTTATTCATAGGAAAACCAGGGCTACACTACAGCAAATAGATACAGTTTTAGGATAACAAAATAAGCCACTAATAGGTTTTCACAAATAGTAAACAAACAAACAAGTAGCAACCTTTGTGCTATATCTAGATCAACTAAATTGTTAAGCTCATAGTACCATTTTAATATCAATAATATATGGTTAGATCACTCTAAAGCAACTACTAAATCTGTTACATTTTATTTTTCGAATAATTATCATATTATCTCTAATATCTATTTAAAATTTAAGTTTATTGTAGAATTTATGGGCTCAGAATTATATCTCTGGACAGATTATTAACAGACATAAAAAAATACTTTCAGTGGATTGACTTTGCTCTTGTGCTAGTTTCAGACTAATTTTTATTTGTTAATTAAAATTTTAAAGACAAAATAAGAAAAACAAGATTATTGGTCTATTTAATTTTATTTAAAATAATTAGCCGTTTTAAAGTAATTGGTAACAATCATATAAACATATATAAATTTTGGAACAAGACTACCCATCTATACATATATACATATACATACATACATACATATATATATATAATAGTTCATAATTATGAAAAAGATCAATTGTTCATAAACACAGATGCTCAAACAATTTAAACTACCAATTGTTTTATTTATAGTGATTCATGTTAACAACTTAATTAGTGTTATTTCATGTGTTGTTTAATTGCCACAAATTGCTTTTTTATAGACATCTTTTTCAGTAAATAAGAAAATTTGTTCTAATTGAAGCAGTGTTTCTCATTAAAACATCTCTAAAAGTCTAACTGTGCTCGCTAACCTGCCTGACAACATGGCAACTACTGGCAAAACTCCCCTTATGGTGAAGTCTTATGTTCAGCAGTGAACAGTTAACAGCCGAAATGATGAAATGATGATTATATATTTTACTAATATATTATTATATTCTATGAAAATTAAAATTTTATTTTGATACCAAATCGAATATTTCTCTTCTCTCTTTCTGATTTCTTCCTAAACATGCATATGAGTATCACATAACATGCTGAAACATAAAAAAACAGTGATGGAAAACCATCTTTTTTTAAGTTGGTTAAAAATTTAAGGCTTACCCGCAAATTATGTGTTGATTCATATAAGGAGGTTGAATTATTAAGTTTAAAACAAATATTATTTTACGTCTAATTTCCGCATAGCGTGCTCACGATTAAGGGCAATAGTTCGTGTGGTGAGTTGGTGACGCAACCGGCGTATTTTGGGCGGTACACAAGCGTATTTCGCCCGTAACGGTCGTGCTGAAACGTTGAACGACTTTACGTTGAGCAGAGACGGTTAAAATATGATTTACGTCGTGTCTATACCGTAATTTATTATTAAACATAAACGGCCATACGGTCGTAATACCCTTTTCCTTATTAGTGTGTTTATAAGGTATATATTGTTACACTAAAATTATATTTAGTACATAATGTTGTTATAGTTGTGCTCGCTGCTCCATCCGCGTGATTTTCGATTGTGATCGGGCTAAAACGTCATTTGTATCTGGTGTGAATAGAAAAAAAAAATATATATATACAAAATTTTTTTTATGCTCAAACAGTATACTTATCATTTTATCCTGCAGCAAAATTGCCCTCAAATCCCCATACCTACCAGTTTCCATCAAGTTCCATTTATAGTATTTTTTTTTACGACGCGGCATTGGCAAATAACGAGAATAAGAGAAAAAAGAGATTCCATCTATTTACGTACACATCGAATAGTTTTTATGTAATAAATGGATTCAGATGGCACATTCTTTCATAGCGTTTGATTTTTAAAATAATATTTAAATTAATTAAATAATAAAAGACTGCGTGAAATTTCTATGACATCAAATTACTTTCGATGGCATTTATATTCTCTTGTCAGTTGTGTAATTCACTATATAGAATATGCATGTTGATATTAAAAGATAAATTAATAATGTGGCCTGAAGCACAGACATTATATTAAAATTAAATATTTCATTATATTTCAAATTATACATTAGAATTTGATGCATTTAATTAATAATAGAACGAAATAACGAGGTCAGATTTAGCAAGATTAAATGCTTTCACAACGCCTATCTGCTTAAGTTAGTCATGACAATTACAACTACATTCACTAACCACCCACCACCATAAAAACTAGATTCAACGGTCAAACATTTGCATTACGTTTAGATTACATTGACTACCTTGCCGGTATAAGGGTGTAACACATTGATTCACCTTCCAACGGTTGCGGGTTCAATCATTGGTTTTAGTTGACACAAACATTCGTGTTCATAGATAAGATTTATGTATTGGTCTGCGCGTTTTTGTTTGTGTATTAAAAAAAAATTACTGCTATAAATTCTAATGGGGTAAAATTCTAATAAATATAATGTTTGTATTTACATTAAAAATAATACATTGTCGTTAAGGGCGCTTAAGAAAAAACAAGACACTGCATATTGCTGTCTCGTTCTATTTTATGCATGTAGTAACGAAGTAAATTTTCGCTAGAATCTAGATATCTATCAATAGATTTGTTTGCCACTTGTCTAGTGAGGCGGTCTATTATATTATTCATGTATTGCTTGTGTAAACATAGCTCCGGTAACACTTCCATTTAAGCGCCAGCCAAAATAAACTGTCTCTTACCGCATTCCTTCTGTAAACTAATGCAAAATATCTATTTCCATATCAATTTACTTACGTCGTAAGTACCGAAACATTAGTGCTAAAGGCTTCCAACCTCAAATACTTATGTTTCATCTGCTTTCATTATTCGTCAAAAGTAATATACGCCGTTTCCAGAAACTTGTAGCCTTGACTTTCGCTCAGACAATAAGTACATATCATCCTCATCATTTT